CAAAATATCCCAACATATCCCAAAATATCCCAAAATATCCCAAAATATCCCAAAATATCCCAACATATCCCAAAATATCCCAAAATATCCCAAAATATCCCAAAATATTTCAAAATATCCCAAAAATATCCCAAAATATCCCAAAAATATCTCAAAATATCCCCAAAATATCCCAAAATATCACCAAAATATCCCCAAAATATCCCAAAATATCCCAACATATCCCAAAATATCCCAACATATCCCAAAATATCCCAAAATATCCCAACATATCCCAAAATATCCCAAAATATCCCAAAATATCCCAAAATATCCCAAAATATCCCAAAATATTCCCCAACATATTCCCAAAATATTCCCAAAATATCCCAACATATATATCCCAAAATATCCCAACAATATCCCAAATATCCCAACATATCCCAAATATCCCAAAATAAATCCCAACATATATATATCCCAAAATATCCAAAATATCCCAAATATATCCCAAATATCCGGCAACTAAATCCCCAAATATCCCAAAATATCCCAAATATCCCAAATATTTCAAATATATCCCAAAATACCCAAAATATCCCAAAAAATTATCTCAAATATCCCCAAATATCCAAAATAAATCACCAAAATATCCCCAAAATATCCCCAAAATCATCCCATACATCTCCCAAAATAATCCCCAACATATCCAATATCCCAAAATATCCCCACCATCTCCCACAATATCCCCAAATATCCCAAAATCTCCCAAACTATTTAAATCCCAACATATCCCAAAATATCCCAAAATATCCCAAAATATCCCAAAATATCCCAACATATCCCAAAATATCCCAAAATATCCCAAAATATCCCAACATATCCCAAAATATCCCAAAATATCTCAAAATATCCCAAAATATCCCAAACTATCCCAACATATCCCAAAATATCCCAAAATATCCCAAAATATCCCAAAATATTTCAAAATATCCCAACATATCCCAAAATATCCCAAAATATCCCAACATATCCCAAAATATCCCAACATATCCCAAAATATCCCAACCCAAAATATCCCAAAATATCCCAAAATATCCCAAAATATCCCAAAATATCCCAAAATATCCCAAAATATCCCCAAATATCCCCAAATATCCCCAAATATCCCCAAATATCACCAAATATCCCCAAATATCCCAAAATATCCCAAAATATCAAAATATCCCAAAATATCCCAAATATCTTCTCAAAGTCTCGAACAAATCGCTCTCAACGAGCTTCATGGAACCTCAACATCCTCAACAACCAGGGTCACACTGAGCAACTGCAGAAAGCCCCAAGCCGCTGGAATTTGAAACGGGTTGCCATGGCCCACAGTACGACGGACCACACGAAGAGAGTCACTGCCTTTGCAGGGGCAGATCCCTCAAGTTTCGGCAGGTGAACAGGATTTAACGGATGAAGTGATAATTTACAGGAAAAGCAGGTGTCTACAATGTGTTTACATGTGTTGGCCATCATAAAACACAGAAGTTTCCCTGAAAAAGAAACTCGTCATCCCATTCTGTGAAATTAAACCACCAAGAACTTGCAAAACAGGCACGACCGAGTGTATATGTCACAAGAAAAGAGGAATGGAACACCACTGGAACAGCGGTGCTGGTCGCCAGAACGACCTACCCTCTGGTAATGACTAACATAGCTATTGAAAATGGTGATTTATAGTGGATTTACCCATTGAAAATGGGGATTTTCCATAGTTATGTTAGTTTACCAGAGGGTATATTCAAATAGCTGGATTGTTCACGTGCTTTGTCTGTTTAGCATGAGAGCGCTAATCGCAGTTTCGAACACCGGGCCTTTGAATTGTATATTTGCAGTGTCTCAAGATCTACCGGGCCTACTAATACAATCGCCCCTGCTCGATGGTTATATGAAAACATCATATTCTCAACTCAGAAAGTTTCACCATTTTATCATTTTGGGTATGAATCCCCTATGTATACCCTCCGGTGTCATCAAACAGGGCTTGCTGGAAACTCCACCATTTAGTTCGATGATTTTTCCAGCAAGAAAGCTCCATGGCTAGTTCGGGAATTTCCCAGTTTGCCGCGTTTGATGACACCGGAGGGTATACCCCATTGTGTATATATATATATAATATATACATATAATATGTATATGTATATGTCTGTATGTCTGTATGTATGTATGTAATGTAATGCAATGTAATGTAATGAAATGTAATGTAATGTAACCTAACGTAACGTAATGTAATGTAGTGTAATGTATATATATATATATGTATACATATAACTATATATATATATGTATAATATGTATATATATATGTATGTATATATATGTATATATATATATCCCCAATATAATTCGCATTAGAATCCCATTATTCCACTATTTTTAATGTTGGTTAAATCACCGTTAAAACACCATTCGCTGGGTGACCCCAGCGAAGCTTCATCCCATCCTATCACCTCAAGTAACATCTGAAGGTCATCCGAGATGATATCCAATGAGATTATATCACCATCATATTCCAATGATATCCCAAATCTTGGATGATACATCATGATTATACAAATATCATATGAACATATATATATATATACATAATATATATATATATATCATTTGGGTCATACATCCAATGATATCCCAAATCATATTCCATGAGATTGTATCACCATCCAATGATATATCCCAGTGTATCATAGTGTATCAATGGGTCTTAATATGTCTTAATCCATCTGCATTAAATCTCCAGCTACGGCACCCAGGTGACGATGAGGAAGGCGTAGGTCCAGATCAGCAAGTCTAAGACATACATGGACCACGCTAAGTCGTCCTGGGCGGCTTGGCTTGCTGGTTCTGATCACCGATTCTTATCAGATGTAGAGAGATCAAATCATATGTCTATATATAATTTACTAGCTGTATATGTATGTATATATATATATAAACATACAAAAAGAATGGTATACTACTTAATACAAACAGCCATACAGCTAGTCATTAATCATGTCTACACATATAATCACACATACTCAGTCAATGTAAATCCTTGGTAGACCTATGTTTCTTCATGAATGGCAGACTTTCTGGGTGTGTGTCAAAAAGACTGAACCCTTTACCCTTGTGTACTTAGATGGTCGGTTGTATCACGTTGAACATCATAGTTGAAGACTTTCCCTGGTGTATGATTTAAGGTGGTTCAGATGGTTGAACTGGGATGTGAGAACTCGGCCCTCCCCTATCCTCTACAAAACATGCAATTATTTGATTATTGGAAGTTAATGGACTGGATTGGAATCCCTACCCAAAGAAGCTGAGAAACAATGCGTAAGTGTGAATGCGTTGGCTTCATGATAATTATCGTAGTACTACTTTCCCACGGGTCGCCATAATCTATCCAAATGCATGCGCAATTTCTGTTGAACTTTGAAGACACACAACAACAAATCATTTTGGACGATTCAATCCCACCATAGGATGATGGAGGAAGTATATGACTTATATGACCTGGTCAAGCAGCGAAGATTCGAAGACAAAACTCACCAGATTGGTTTGTTCGGAAAAAACAAACCACCGGAAACCCGGGTGTTTGTTTGCCCCAAAGATATAGGCTCATATAGGCTTATAGGCTTCTTTCAATATGATCAAACATGATAAAAGCATACAAAAACTGTGAATTGTCCCATCATGTGCCATCCAATTCTGGTACTCTCCTTGAACATCGTTAAGTTATACTGGTCCACCGCCAAGCACTCGCCATGGCATTCCGCTCCCAGCAGATCGCGCAAACCTGGGGAGTCCATGGGAGTCCTTTAAAAAAAAAACAGGTAGTCGTTTGTTGAGTTGTTTTTCGCCTTCTTCTGAAACTTTATCAACCTGTAAAAGCTTGGACTTCACCAAGAAAATGCAGCTTTCAGCTATAGAAATGGAGTTTGAACCTCATTCGGCTACCAAGAGTTTTGATATAACCTGGTAAATGAATGGAAATGATCATTTCAACTATATTTAAGCAGCAAAACATGGTCACTTAATTTGAACATATTTGAACCAAGAGGATTTCATATCTAAGACCGGTTGGTCCACGTGGACCTCATTCGCCACCATTCTATTTCAGCGTCCCAGGTGCTGCGCCACATTGAGGGCATGTGGTGATCGCAATTCACGCGCTTCCGGCCGAAGGGCAACAGCAGAAGCGCGGCGACCACAAAGACCTGTGAGGGAGAATCGCAGAAATCAACCATAGTTGCAACGAAGGGGGGGTACCATTTCAATGACATGGACGGCTTTGATGGCAAACAATGGCAAACAGTCCCCGGCGTCAACACTTGAGGCCAATATTTTCGGGGAAACATTGAGCAGAGTTTTGGTAACCTCATTTCCAAGCCCTACAATAGAGGACAAGTACAAACAGAAATGATGGTTTCACCCCCAGCAGCATCAAACTGTGGGGTGAAACACTGGATCTGCCGCATAGTGAATAATCCAAATTATAGCCCATCATATCTCCAGTGTATCTTCATTATATTACCATTTCTGTTGATTAAATCCCAATTATTGCTGATTAAATAACATCATCAAGTTTGATTGTTAAATCACCATTTTGCATGGTTAAATCACCATTTTGCATGCTTAAATCACCATTTTGAATGCTTAAATCGCCATGTTGAATGCTTAAATCACCATTTTGAATGGGTAAATCACCATCGTTGTTGGATTTATTGTTCGTAAAACACACATTAAAACACCCAAAACAGCCTCTAAAAGAGGCTCCCACTCTTAGGCTATGCTCTGAGACTGCGACTTTCCAGGTGTGCATTAACAACATCTCGGCTCCTTCCGTGGCCTTGGCCATGGCTGGCAGCTGCGGATTGACAACAACAAATCAAAGATGAAAAAATATCATTAAAAAAAGAGCAATGAACCATCATACTCATTTGGAGGTTTCCATAAATGGGGGTACCCCCAAAAAAAAGGACAAAATGGATCCTCTCAAAATGGATGATTTGGGGGTACCCCCATTTTTATGAATTTTTGATTTGTTCTAGTTTCACAGCATAATTAGCAGTAATGGATCTTCCATGATGTTCCATCTAGGCATCACCGTCAGCGTCAGGTCCAATGGGGGCCCAACCCAAACGGAGAAGGTGAACATGCCGCCCATGCAGGCCCCGCCACCTGTCAAGGCCATCATCCCATGATCTTGCGCAGTAAAAAACAACAGCCTTTTACCAACTGAATTGTGGATGCATAAACAGATTATTCATCCATGTTTTCAGAAGATGCAAATTTGGGCGTCGCCCGGAGACATTTCAGATATTGCATATTCCAAGATTGATTTTTGTTTGCATCATCATTTTGGGACATCATCTTGAATATGTTCCATTTAATTTGGTTTTTGTGGGGGTGCCACACGCAAAATCACATAGAATATGGCCTGTAAAATAACAGGGGTCTTGTAGTGTATTTATATATATATATATATCAATATATATATAATATATAAATACCACTGAATGTTTGGGTTTAACCATGCTAAACAAATGATGGATGTATTGCCAAGATTCGCCAATTGGGCTCTAAAAAAAAGGTCCCCTTACAGAGATCCCTCAGCATTTTCCTTGCCCGGGATCCTCATTCCACAAGATGATAGATCATGACATTTTACAGAAATAGACCAAAGATCAATAGCTCCTATCTATACATATACATATACATATAATACACATATACATATATATATATATATACACATATGTATATACATATATATACACATATGTCTATATATATATCTACATATATATATATATGTATGAATGAGTTTTTTAGCTATATACATATATATATATGGATTTTTGCTAGTGACTTTTTAATGGTGGCCTCGCTTATAACCAACCATAAACGGCACCTTTTCCCAGCGTCTCGTAGCCATGGCCGCCGTTCTTCAGCGCATACTCCCAGCCACAGTAGCAGTTCCAGCCGGCCAGGGGACAAGTAGCACCTGCATCCAGGCCCCCGGGGAACGGATGGTTCTTGGCACCCAGGATATATATATATAATATATATATATATATAATATATATAATATATATATATATATATAATATATATAATATATATAATATATATAATATATATAATATAATATAATATAATATATATAATATATAATATATATATAATATATAATATATATAATATTAATATATATATAATATAACATATATATAATATATAATATATATAATATATAATATATAATATATAATATATATATATATGTATACATTATATATATAGAGAGAGTCTCAATGTTTGACCGCTCACAACAGTCCCCTCCCTATATATAATGAGTATATATCTTGGTAAATTATAATATGTAATTCACTACCCTGAATTAAGGCCATTTGGGGATGATTTCCAGTGAGGTCGCAGTGAGGTCGTTATAATTCGCCCATATATATTTATAATATATTATAGACACACACACACACACGTGTACGCTTGTGTATATAAGAATATATACACATGTATGCATATATATATATGGAGGTTTCCTAAAATGGTGATACCCCAATAGTTGGTTGCTTTATAATGGAAAGTCCTGGCAAAATGGATGATTTGGAGGTACCCTCTTTTTAGGAAACCTCCATATGATAGAGAAATGTTGGTTTAATCAAGGCCAATTGTGATTTCACCAAGCAAAATGGGGATTGAGTGGATGTAGCGGATGTTGCTAAATAGGAAAGCTGGTTTCTATAGGCTAAGCACATGATCAAACATAAACTTTTTGGGTACCCTATTTTCTGACAAACACATTCATCCCCTCATGAGACGCAGCGTTCTCGACACTTCTCGGCGCCTTTGATCTCTAAGTGGCTTTCGCACTTCTCGTCGCTGATGCACTTGTACTGATCGCAAATGCCTGTTGCATATTCAGACCCTCGTCAAGCATAAGAATTTTGAAATCATCAATAAACACTAAACAAATCAACTTGATGTTTTTAATGATGATATCTCAAAAACCTATACAAGAAAACAACAAATGACAACATCTAAAATCTTGTAGAATGCACGCCCTGAATGAAACAGGAGTAGACTGGAGTATGCCAACCGCAATAGGACACACAAACAGAATACGATACATGGCTGCAATGCCTGCAAACTTCAGATTGCAAACGAAGGTGTTACAATTGATTCCCTCCAGGAGGAAGTGGCATCTCTTCAGTATCGCACCTTCCAGAAAATTCACCGTATCCTTGGCATCCGAAAAGAGGGGACTGGAGGTTCCTGGATGTGGCATATCCAAAAGTTCCATTCTTGGGGGATTCAATTTGCAATAGGAATGCAGATTTCACCCATACTTCTTTGTGGTTTGTCCAATTCAACCAACAGTCGTTGGACAAATTGATTAGAAGACCAATGGCCATAGTCTCGCCCCTGCATCAAGGCCCTGAAAGTTCAGTCTCCAGGCTTGAAGGCTCAGAATCTCGCGGGATGCTCCCTTTGTCAATGAACCAATAGTTCGGGATGATTTGACTCCGAAAATTGTTCGGTCATGGTGATTTAACTTGGTCAACTTCAACAAAATATGGAGAGAAACAGGGCTAAGGCCTCTGTAAGCAAGAGAGATCTGCGAGCTGTTAGCCACATCATCGCAAGCACCCCAGACATCTCCAAACTGTCCTGCAGGATCTCTCTCTCTCTATATATATATATATTGTATATATATACACATTTCAGGGAACCTGGCAGGAAAACAGCTGCCAATTGCACCAGTTTCAGTTTAAAATCAGTGATGTCAAGGCGTCTTTATTGTCTCCATATCTCTCACAGAATTCACATCAAAAACCAGCTCCCCATCAAGCAAAATGTTTCTAACTGCCTCACTGCCAAGTGGCTGTAATCCCTGACTTCTCCCAGCCTCGGAATGGAAAAAACCTGGGTTACCTTGGCATCTTATCATGATTCAACCAGGAAAAATGGAGATTCTACTAATTCTACTAACAACACTAATTAGGATTAAAGCCTCTTACAGGTATTTTAGTATGTTTTACTGATTCCACTGAACCATGATTGCTTTGTTTGGTGCCTTTGAGTAGCTTCCGCTTTGCAAAGGTGGCGCTTGACTCTCTGCAAAGCGAAATCAGTCCAAAGTTCAGGACTTTGGGTGGAAAGCGTTTCTGGAAGCATCATGACCCATATTTAACACATCGTAGGGGATATGATGGTGATTTATAGGGGCTTTATATGGGATTTATATGGGATATAATGGATAATACCCTCTGGTAAACTAACAGTTTGCTATTGAAAATGGCCCAGTCGAAATAGTGGATTGTCCAATTAAAAATGGTGATTTTCCATAGCTATGTTAGTTTACCAGAGGGTAACACATTTGAGACATTTAAACACATCTAACACAATGTTCAGTGGATGTTTTAGGGGGATTATTGGCCTCAAGATTGCAAAAATCTCCATGGTTGGATCAAATCTCCAGTAGGTCCCATTTCCATAAAAAAGCCTGCTTGGTTCATGGGGGGTCCGAGTTGGTGGATTATATGATCTTCCCCAACATATACAATATATATATATATGTATATATATACAGGGTATAGGTGCATAGCCCCATTTAAATCATTTAATGGGTAATCAACAATCAACCGACCATCTTTCTCAATTGTATCACCATTTTTTAAGTGTAAAAATAATAAAAACAAACAGTGGTCAAATGAACATATTTTTTAAAAAATCAATGTGTCAATCTAGGTTTAATCACCATCTATCACCACATTTCATGTTTAAATGTAAGTCATCTTAAAACCATTGGCATTTAACTGGATTTCAGAATGGATTATGATAATCTCCAATAAATCATTGGTTAATGGACTAAATCAAGCAGTTAATGGTTATTTCATATGGTAGATGGCTGATGGTTGATCAGTCATGGTTGAAATCCGCTGGGCCATGCTGGGCCCCATCGGGTGGCCTTCATAGCACTGGCAGGTCTCGGTATTCGCATCCCACTCACCTCAGCAGCACCGCACTGGAGCAGCTTTCCAGGATTTTTGGGTGCTTGGAAATCGGAAATCATTGGAAAGTCACACAAAGTTGTGGGATTGATATTGCATTTATATGGGGGGGTGTTTTTCGGATTTGGTTTGGGATTGATATTTAACCATGAAATATGCAGATCGAACAAATATGATGGAATAAAATGCTATAAACTAGTATCTAGATGTATCTAGTAATAATAATACACAACAATACTGGGAATGTCATGGGAATTTTAGACAATTTTCCGCGCAAGACAATGCATTTTCCAGATCGAGATGTCCCATGGTTTGCAACTTCATTTTTCCTGTTTAATGCCATCATCCAAGTGTGGGTAAACCTGGGAATTTAGCATGGAACCCCGGAACACATTTGAGAGTTTACTTTGTAAGATGATGTTGCTGTTGGAATATGGCCATAAATGAGGCTTCCGTCTTGAATCTGAGGAGATTACCCTCCAGCAGATTATATAAAATAGAAAAACACATCAGGTATGAATCATTTCCTAGGAAAATCATGGTCTTACACAAAGGTTTTCCACATCTGCCCTCCGATAATCAACTATGGCTAAATATGGCAATGGAAAATACCCCGTTTGCCGTTTGGTTCGATGATTGCCAAATTTGAAAACCCATTGAGTTCGACGATTCTCCCAAAAAAACCTTCATTTATGGATGATTTTCCTATACCCTCTGGTAAACTAACGTAACTATAGAAATCACCATTTTTCAAATGGGTAAATCCACTATTTCGACTGGGCCATTTTCAATAGCTATGTTAGTTATGACCAGAGGGTATTTCCCATAAGTTCGGGAACTTCCCCGCCCGCCGTTCTGAGCATCCCCAGCCATGCTTGCAGTCTCTGGCCTTCACAGCGCCGACGGCTACACAGCCGAGGCCTGGGCAAAGTGAGGGGATCATTCTTTGGACATTGGACATATGAATCTATATGGATAGGAACACGATGCGTTTTTTTTTATTAGAAATCTGAAAATACTACTAAATATATATATATATATAAATAGTACCAACTATAAATGTCCCACATATAGTATGTTATATGACTCCAATCAGTGACAGCGATGAATATATGATCCTGTCCCCCTAAGATTCGCCGCTGATCCTATGGTGGCAAGTGATCCGTTCATTTGGGGTCCCATATCAGGGATGGTATCTGATATTAGAGGGGATGCGGTTATATGTACATGTATGTATATGTATGTATATGTATGTATATGTATGTATATGTATGTATATGTATGTACATGTATGTATATGTATGTACATGTATGTATATGTATGTATATGTATGTATATGTATGTATATGTATGTATATGTATGTATATGTATGTATATGTATGTACATGTAGGTAGATGTATGTATATGTATGTACATGTATGTATATGTATGTATATGTATGTATATGTATGTATATGTATGTATATGTATATGTATGTATATGTATGTATATGTATGTATATGTATGTATATGTATGTATATGTATGTATATGTATCTATATGTATGTATATGTATGTATATGTATGTATATGTATGTATATGTATGTATATGTATGTATATGTATGTATATGTATGTATATGTATGTATATGTATATGTATGTATATGTATGTATATGTATGTATATGTAGGTATATGTATGTACATGTATGTATATGTATGTATATGTATGTATATGTATGTATATGTATGTATATGTATGTATATGTATGTATATGTATGTATATGTATGTATATGTATGCATGGATGCATGCAAGTATGTATGTATATGTATGTATATGTATGTATATGTATGTATATGTATGTATATGTATGTATATGCATGTATATGTATGTATATGTATGTATATGTATGTATATGTATGTATAGGTATGTATATGTATGTATATGTATGTATATGTATGTATATGTATGTATATGTATGTATATGTATGTATATGTATGTATATGTATGTATATGTATGTATATGTATGTATATGTATGTATATGTATGTATATGTATGTATATGTATTTATATGTATGTATATGTATGTATATGTATGTATATGTATGTATATGTATGTATATGTATGTATATGTATGTATATGTATGTATATGTATGTATATGTATGTATATGTATGTATATGTATGTATATGTATGTATATGTCTGTATATGTATGTATATGTATGTATATGTATGTATATGTATGTATATGTATGTATATGTATGTATATGTATGTATATGTATGTATATGTATGTATATGTATGTATATGTATGTATATGTATGTATATGTATGTATATGTATGTATATGTACGTAAGTATGGATGTATGGATGTATGTATTTGATTCTCTACGAATGGACTAATGATGATCTCTTATATATATCCAAAATACACTTGTTACTCTAGAATTACCTTCTTTCTATGGTCAATATGATTGATTCTGAAATGAAAACCCCATACAGATATCATTTCTTGTAGGATATGTGAAATGATGTGAAATGGGATCCATCAACCTTCAGCTTGGTGGTTTGGAAGGTTTGGAAGTCCCGGAATCCAAACCAGCTTGATGCAACATTGATGGAGTTTTCTATCTTGAAGCATTAAACACCATTAAACACCATTAAACACCATTAAACACATTATGGTTGATGGTGAAACCATTAAACTATACGATGATATTTTACATGGTTCAATGGTTCGCCATCAACCAAGGGGCTTTAGCCGATTTTTGACCGATTTTTGTTGGTTGTAACTCTTGCTCTCTTTGTGTCTGTATGTTTTAATATGACATAAGAAATATGCATATCTATATGTATATTGCAGCTATTATATAATTACGGCCAGGCGCCTTGTGTTGCCCGGAGATTTACAGGGACGTTCCCGGCATGTTGATCATCATGATGATGATGATGATGAGTCTAACTGGGGTGGGAGAATTAAACCCTTATTGAAGAATCTTCAATGAATGTAAGAGTTTAACGGGGGTGGTAGAATTAAACCCTTATTGAAGATCTTCAATGAATGGAAGAGTTTAACGGGGTGGGAGAATTAAACCCTTATTGAAGATCTTCAATGAATGGAAGAGTTTAACGGGGGTGGGAGAATTAAACCCTTATTGAAGATCTTCAATGAATGGAAGAGTTTAACCGGGGGTGGGAGAATTTATATGAGATGTATAGTGTGAACAAAAAATCCTTGTAATTTACGCTATTCTGGGCTTGGGCAACACAAGGTGCCTGTGGGTATAATTATATACCCTCTGAAAAATATTAGTCAAATGGGATGGTTATTCCCAATATATGGAAAAAAAAACATTCATGTTCCAAAGCCCCAACCAGTAATTATAACATCGTCGACCACCACTTCCACGGCAACGCCCAACGCAGGGCAGGGCGCCAAAGATCCATTGAAGCGTGGCTCTCATTGGTCCATGGCACCGCGGATTTGAACCGCAACAAATGACTGCGGATCTGCGATGAGTCATGGTTTCTGGGGGATGGGATTATCCGATTGTTGATACCGACCAAGATAAATACTACATATCATTATATATATATATATCTATCTATCTATACCGACAATTATATATATATATTATATAAATTATATATCATTACATGTATATATATAATTACACATAGGTAAACTGCAATGAATCACAAACCTAAATTATGAGACGATGAGTTGGGATGATTCCATTTAACCATCGCAGTGAGCTTGTCCTGATTTATCATTGGGGAAGCTGTGACCACAATTCATGGGCCAATTGGAATTTAAGGCGAACATAGGGGAACAATACCACATCCCACTTCCCAAGAATTACTTTAAGATAATCGGAATATCGTTGGAAATGAACCAAAAAAACACTGGATAATTCCTACAGTAGCGGCTAATTACACCTACAGCGCATTTTCATACAGATCATGGATCTACGCAAGGTCTCCCATTTCGGCTGATCATTACCTTGGTAAAACGATGGGTCTTCGATCTTGCCAAGCTGGTACGGGCAAGGGAAGTGGTTCTATTCTGACAACTACCAGGCCGCCATGTGAGCTAGTGAAAAGCATGATTTTGTGCTGGTCAGAGAAGAAACAACATAGTCCCATCTGCATTCCAACTATGTGCCTTTATATCTATCGAATTCTTTGTACATCAACAAAGTCCGTGCAGCTTCCGACAAACCTCAGGCTCCCGGGCGATAAAACTGCCATGGCTCACTAGGCCAGTCCTACGAAACAGCAGGGGGTTGGGGGTACAAGTTATGGGATGCAGGGGTTGATACTCCCATCCACCTATGAAATGATAACCCACCTAGTTAATGGATGTTAATGGGATCCCAAAATGGGTTTTCCCTGTACGATCCATGGTGCTGGTATATTTATACCCCGGCCGTCTTGTCCTTTTTTGTGAGTAGCGAGAGCAGCACCGTGTCATGGATATTGAATCAATTGTATACACACAAAGTCAGTGATACAATTTCTACATATGTATACCATATTTACGCGGGAAGCCACAAACATGCTCAATTGAGAATCCTTTGACAATTGTCAAAGTCCTTCCCAGAGACAGTGCTTTGATTCAAGTCAAGACAGAAACCAAGCTTCAGCTTCAGCAGTGTGTGTATTGCCGTTTCCTGGCGGATACTCTGCAGAAAATGCTATGGAAAATTACCGATGTAAACTTCCATGATTTACCCTCTGGTACACGAACATGGCAATATGGAAAATCACTATTTTCATAGGTACATCATGGTGAATCAACTATATATATATATACATGACCATGTTCTAAAGCAAATTGAGCCAGTAATTAGAAATACACCTATCCCATCTCATTATACTAGTTGGTTGAAAACGGTTTCCCTACGATCAGTTATATATCATAATCCCCAGTAAATAGCAGTAAACTAGCTAGTATAAGTCCCCAGTTGTAACCAATCAACCTGGCTAATCTTTCATGGCCCACTTGTTTGTTTACCAGAGTCAATGGATTTGATTGGTGAAGGGAAAAATGAAACCGGAACCCCCCATGATCTTCATGGGAAAATCGATGTCCGGCTAAGATTTTCCCTTAGCCTTAAACCAATCCATTGACAGAGGGTAACCTCCCACCCAGCCTGGCACTGTCCATTTCCCGCCACAGCATGCGAAGCCTGGCTTCGGGGGACAAGAGAACTCGTCATGCCGCAAAGGGAATATCAATGGAATAGTTATACAATAAAATGTATGGTAAATGGACTCTTGATGGAATATCACTGAAATAGTTTATGTGTATATATATATATATATGATTGCATATTGATGGAATATTGATGGAATATGTTAATAGAATATTCATGGAGTATGAATCGAATACTGGTTTTATAATTGTTAATTACTCATGCGAGTTGCTGGGATTGACAGGGGATCATCATTGTGATTTTCCCCTTTTTCATCCCCAAGCCATTGTCTTGAACACCGCGAAAAACTGTGCAGCCACGAATCGCACAAAAAATAAAAAGTGGAACTAACACGGATGAAATTGGTATGTTTCACCAAGTATAATAAATAGTTTTCACATACCCCAAAAGGGCATTACCCATGTAAATCAACCATTGTTGGGGACTATTCACCACATAACCCATATTAATCCCATGTTTCTGGGGTATGTCCCATTGGGATATATGAAAAAATCCATTAGAAGTAGCAGTGGCACCTGGAAATTGACCTGATCAATTTGGAGGTTTCATTTGGAGGTTTCTTAAGCCATGGGGGGGTACCCCAAATCATCCAAAATTAGACCACTTAGTGACAGATATTGACACCCGTGGTGTTGGGTACCCTCTGGTAAACTAACATAACTATGGTAAAAAAAATGGTAAAAGGGGGATGCTAGGACATCCCAAGGGTTTATGTTGGTTGTTATGGTTTTTAGGTTTGTGTTCAATGTTTCTTCCTTATCTTTGATGTTTTATGTGGTGGGGGTTTTGGGACTATTTTGCCCCTAACTTTCACTGTTGATGTTTGGATTGAATGAGGGTAGGATTTGTTTAGGTTGTTGGGGTTTTGTGTTTGGGTTTGGGTGGGTGATTACTTCATAATATGTTTTGTTAAGATATTATGAATTAATTGTTTTATGCTTTCCACTTTCCTATTCCATCCCACCAGTGTTCAATTATCCTGACTTGACTTGTGATAGTTGGCTCGTCTGTATCATCTAAAATTAGTTCATCTATTGCTAATGCTAATAGAGCTTGATTTATTGCCATAGCATCCCATTTTCCATCACGGTTAAGTTCCTTACCACATTCAACGATAATTGTTTTGTTAGTGAGGTTTTCATACATTCTTTTTATAATGTCAAATCTCATAAGCGAAAAAAAAATATCATTCCATTTGTTCCTTGGACGTTTTTCAGCTTATCAATTACTTTAAACCACCAGTATTCTCCTTCCTCATCATCTGGTGAAGGCATAGGATGACACTTTACAAAGTCTCTAATCTCTTCATCTTCTTTTTCTATTGCTTGTCTATCACATTCGTGTTCATCTTCGCTTTCACTACCAAAGTCAGCATATATACCGATATTGTCTCTATCTATAACCTGAATTTTTGCTTTACTCATTTTCTCTTATTATATATAGTTATTTTTTCTTTAAGTATTTACCACTTTTTGTAGATACTCTTTTATTTCTTCTATGTTCAAATATTTCTCATAACCGTTGAACAGTTCTTCAACATATTCACGCAAAAATATTTTCACAATGTCATTTACCTTAAACTCCCTATTTCTGAATGTATAAGTCCAATCGTTTTGAGGAAACCACCACTCCCGTTTGTTCTTACAATATGTCATATATGTAAGGTCGTGAAATTTTTTAAGGAAGTGATAGGTAGTTTTCCACTCCCTCTTCACAAAAGACTTAATCGCCATTAAGAACAGTTTGTCATGTTTGAATTCTTGCTTGAGTTTGAATGTATCCATTAAAACATCAATTTCTCTTTTCATTTGCCGAGTGTTTGTTCGGTTCGTGTTGGACAAATAAATATATAGGTGATTTCTCCATCCTTGTTTTAAAAAAATAGATTTTTTTTTCTACTCTCGTCAGTTTTTTATCATTAAAATAGTCAAAATGATAATTGAAATCTATGTATCTACGCTCCTTATCGTTTAAGTCTTTACATTTTGAACAGTGAAGGTTGTAATCACATATCTCATCACAAATTCCGGCGGGAAAAATATTGTTCAATAAATCCTTTAGGTCAGTCATTTCTTTCTTACAACATCCGCAGTCTTTATAAGTAAATAGCATCCTCTTACTATATATATAGGTATTTTTTCTTTAAGTAGTTTTTGGGGTCTCTTTCATTTTTTGAGTTCGGGTTGGTTTTTCTTTTCCCTTTCCTCCTCTTCCAGTTCTCCTATGACCATATCAATTTCATTCATTCCTTCGTTGGGGTCTTGTCCATTTGCGAGGTTTCTTAACCTCTCAAAATCCTTCACTTTGTGTCTTTCATTGGGTGGGAGGGTTTTGAGATGTTCCTTCAACTCTGTCAGGTCAAAGTATGTGTCTTGTTCTTCATCCTCATTTTCCAAAAACATTTCCATTCTTTGCTTTTCCATCTCCATAAGTTTGTTTTCCATATATTGGAATTTCATTTGCTTCTTGTAGCACTTGCCACAAACATTCACGAAGGTTTTGAGCAAGTAGTTCCAATTAGGTTGCTTTGTATCGTTCAGGGTTATAACATCTGTCATTATACGACATCCACAGTCAAATTTAGTCATCTTATTCAGTCTTACTATATATAGGCATTTTGTTCTTTAAGTATATTTTTTTATTGCTGATAATTTTAAAAATCTAATAGTATAATATATGGCAAGGAGACTATCACGAGATGACATCATAAGCAATGTCTATTACAATCTTGAAACGGGCTTCGGTTCAATCAATGAGACCCTCAAGAAAGCCAAGGAACAAGACCAGACCATCAACAGGGTGGATGTGGAAAACTTTATGAGGAAACAACCCAACAAACAGATTAGAAAATACAGGGGTTCAAACTCCTACACCGCGCCCTTCGCAAGGTTTGAATATCAGATTGACATAATGGATATGAAACCCCTAACTAAAGAACCAGAGACGAAAATTCCCATCAAGAACGACGAACCGACATATGGGTTGGTGGTCATTGACATCTTCAGCAAGTTGGCAAACGTCGTCCCTATGAAAGAAAAAACCGGACCAATCACATTATCAGCGATGAAAGAGAGTTTCAACAAAATGGGTTTTCCGATGTCCGTTTATAGTGATAATGACCGTGCCTTCCAAGCGGGAGTTAAAGACTTTTTTGAGAAAGAAGGCATCACTCACGTCGTCACCCTAACTCACGCCAATGTTGTGGAGCGTTTCATCAGGACAATGAAAAATATGATACACGACAGGGTCAGGTTTAATCGCGGTAGTTGGACTGTTATGTTGTCCAAAGCATTGGATAAATACAACGACACCATCCATTCATCCACGAAAATGAAACCCAAGGACGCCCACGATGACAAAAACCATATGGATGTCAGGGTTAATTTGACAAGGAGGGAAAAGAACACTTGCAAATATCCAGAGGTCAAAGTGAATGATATGGTCAAGGTCTTTGAGAAGAAAAAAGACAACTACACCGAGAGGAAGGAGTATAACTCAAAATGGAGCAATCAATCCTACAAAATCATCAAAATAGAATACGACGACGTCGGAAACAGAACCTTCAAACTGGAAGGATTGAACAAACCGTATTTGAGGCACGAGATTTTGAAAGTATAAAAAAATATCTATAATATTAATATATGACAGAGGTAGTTGTAAAAGAGATTGATAATGAAGAACCAAAGGAAGAAACAATACCAGAACCAATACAGGAAGAAGCACAGAAAGAAGAGGAGAAACCAGAAGAAATAATTGAAAGACCAGTTGAAGAGAAACCACAACCAGCAACGGTAGTCCCAAAACCCAAAAGGGTAAGACCGTCAAGGGCGAAACCACCTTTTGACCCAGAGGCATTCAAAAACGACCTTGTAAAACAACTGAAGGAAGAACTACAGAGCGCAATGACCGCCAGAGACACCTACAACAAAGCCAAAGAGGAAAAGAACAAAGCGACGAGAGAGAAATTGAAATCTTTAGCATCAAACATTTTGTAAAATATTATATATAAAAATGAACATCAAGGAACAGAAAATAGAACTCAACAAAACAGACATCTACGAAAACGTCCGCAAGGACATCAACAGAAGACAAACCGTCCATTCAAACAAAAGTGCCAACTACCGGAGCGGAACGCCCGAAATGCCAGACAGAAGAAAAAAAGCGTATAGTAGTTATGACCACTACTACCACAACGACAGCAACACGGCAAGGATGCCAACTCACAACCATCATCTTTACCTAAAGCGTCTTCTTGAATATCACAACACCGAGCACGATTACAAGGTCTTACAAGTAAAGCAGAGGATGAAGGAAAAGAATGAGATGCTACAGAACGAAATGACAAGGTTGAGGGAGGTGAGGAAAAATCACAGATTGGAAGATTACGGGGCGAACGTCCAGAATATGAAACAGAGAATTCATGAGTATAAGCAGTGGTTGAGAGGCGATACACAAGATTAATATAAAAATCTAAAGTATTAATATATAGCAATGACAGCAGAAGTAATCAACGCAAAACAGGGATTGACACGAATACCCACTTATGCAGAACTCATCAAGGAAATAGACAGGGAAAAGTTCAAAACCAATGACATCAGAAAAATATTTGATAGGAACGCTTGGTATTTTCACGAAAGTCCTCAGGGTCAAGCACTGAACACAAACAACATCCACCCAGCAGACTTACAGCAAATGAACTTCAAAAAGATGGCAGAGGAAGCGACCGCAAGGAAGGAAGAAGAAGCACCCAACCTTGACTTTGAAGATATGACCGACTTGAGGGACGACGCCATCAGCGACTTTGAGATGCCCTTTGACAGAGAGGCAGAGTTGAGGGAAGAGAACGAAAGGAGAGTAGCAGAACAGGCAAACTTAAGTCATTCACAAGACCACTATATGGCAAACAAAGGGGCATACGACGCCGTCGGAGCAACAGCATCGGCAGGGATACAAGAGGACGAATAACCGCCTTCAAGCAGTAGAAGCATCTTAAAGAAATTCCTTAAATCATCCAAAGCAGTCGTCACAGCAGGAGGAACAGCAAAGGGAGGGTCAATAGGAGGACTAATAGCATCAAAACTGACAGATGCCATCATACCCGACGAAGACGAGGAAGAGAAACCGTCCAAGATAAAACCAACACAAAAACTAATCAACAAACAAGTCAAAAAGGTAAATCACCAAAAGAAGTTAAAGGAGGAAAAATCAAAGATGAACGTGGATGTAGTGCCCGATGTCAATGAACCAATGGATACAACAGCAGAAAAGAGGAAACCCTTAAGCGTGAGACAGTCCAAAGCAAAGAGACAGAAACCAAAACCGCCAACGCAGGAGAAGAGAGAATTTCAGGAAGACCTATCCACAACCACCAAACCGCCCAAAGCAAGAAGAGTAAGAGGAAAGCAACCCCAACCACAAGCATTAGGAGCAATCAACATCCCCAAAGACAACAAGACACCCAATGTAGATGAAGCAGAGACAGCACAGGAAGAAACAGGGGCGTCATCTTCATCAAAAGCACCAGTCAGGAAACCAACAATGAACAAGGCAATGTCACCAAGCAAGGTAGGAATACAAGTGATAAGAGAGAAGTTTGAACAGATGAACAACAGCAAAAGCACAGACACAGGAGACTATCAAAGGTTTCAAGAGGTATATGGTAAATGGAAATCAAGCAAGGGAGAGGAAAAGAAACAGCATCTAAAGGAAGCGAAGGAACTTTACAAGTCAATCATCTATCCAAAATTAAAATCAAAATAATTAGTAAAATTATTCATCATATAAAGCACTTCTTTGCGGTTTTAAAGTCCCTCCAGTCATCAGCCCTCATTATGATTTCCTTGTTTTCCTTCATCTTCTCCATTATCTCATTTTTTCCTTCAATAACCTTTTGGATAAAAACATCCATACAATCCTCCCCTCTGTGAAGGAAAGGCTTTGATGAACCATCAATGCTATTGACAACATTTATCATAAAACCGCAGGGCCGGTGATGTTGGTATTTATCAGTCTTGACTTCTTTAGTTGAAACTGTCCCCGTGCTTGTGGTTAGACATTCAAAGTCAGCATAGATGACGAATGGTGCTTTCAACTTTTTGTAGTGATTTTTGAAAACCATAATGTCCTCTTCAGTAGGCATTTGTATCTGTTGCCCTTCAACTGCCATACATCCCTTTTCAACGTGTTCATCAAGAAGTTCTTGTGATTGAAAACCGTGTCGGCAGTGAAAACGATGATAAACTTTTGCTTTGTGTTTGTTGGTTTGACATCCTATCAACTTGTCATAATCTTTGATGAATGCATAATGGTAATCATCCCCATCCTCCAGTTTTAGAAGACTGATTTGATGAGTTGCTCTTTGAACCTTGAACTGTCTGTAAAGTAGAATGGACTGTTTCCCTTCTTCGGGGTCAAGAAAATAAACATTGACTGCTATTTTTCCTCCGTTGTTTTCTTCAAACGTATCTATATCAACATCTGACGAAGGAAAATTCACATAATCCCAGTTCAGTTCATCATTGAGGTTTTTGTAGTGAGACACCCTTTCGGGGTGGTCTTTTTCATAAACCTTACATATACCACATTGAACGGAATACTTGAAACACTTTTCATCTTGATTTTTGATGTTGATACAGGCTTTTTTGTTTGAAACCCATTTAGGCAATGGAATGAACTTACCCCCACGAGTTGGATTGTATTTGTCATAGTTGAACTTCAGTTTATCAATCTGGGTTATGACTAATCCACTCTCCGACACTTCCATCACCTCCGCTTGGTGCTCTACATCACTTGCCATCTGATTAAGAACATTGGGTATTTCACCCTCGTTGGTGATGTTGTATCTTCTACTCTTGATGACTTGTCTTACATCTTCATTAGTCTTTTTACTCTTCAAAGTGGCGAAGACCTGTAGCATAACCTTCATTCCATTGTGTTTCCTCAAATACTCTTTTAACCTCAAATCTTGGTATTTGAGATACTGTAGTGCCTTTATGCCTCTAACCCTGATGTTAGTGATGGCATACGAATTGACATAACCTTTGAAAGCAGATTGTTCGTTGGTGGTGGTTGCTTTGTATCTCATTTGAATGCCTGTGAGTGCTTTGTTCTTGTCCAGATTGACCCATCTAATGCCTCTCTTCTCTTTCAGTTCATACTTTTTGTAATCCATTGTCTGCTTGAATTTGAAATTTGGTAATCTTGTTGAATTTGGTAATCAACCTCTTTGAAATGGGTTTCCCCCTTTCAAAGTTGTAGGTTTTCTCTCCAATCTTGAGTTTCTTGAGTTCTTCTCCATTCCGTTTCAATATCTCACCCTTTTCGGATGACAAAAGATAATCTAAAACAATCTGCTGAAGTATCCATTATAGTATAATCTATATTATTATAATCATCTGTTTCTTTAAGTAGTTTTTCAGTTTCCATTGTTTGTTGAGGATGTTGCGGTTGATTGGATAGGTTGTCTTGTTGGTTTTCATCATTAAACCGAGCGATTGAATGTTTCCACCTTGTATCCTCTGCCATTTTCTCCTTAAAATATAAGGTAATATTGCTTCAAGCAATTTTGGGTTCTCGTTCAGTTTTTGGGTCATTGGGTTCTGGGTTGAAGTCCAACGTGAGAACACCAGAATTGAATTTGAGAAAAATGGTTTAAAGAAATGGCAACTTATGGTAAATATACGTATGAACAGGTATGAAAACGGAAAGATTTACAAAATAACTGACACTGGATACAACAAAGCCTATGTAGGGAGCACTTGCGAAAGTTTGAGTAAAAGAATTGAGAGGAATAGAGCAAAATACAGTTCTTACAAAACAGGAAACACAAATAGTAATTTGTCAGTGTTTGAAATATTTGATGAGTTTGGTATTGAAGATTGTAAGATTGAGTTGATTGAAAACTATCCCTGTAGTTGTAAGGAAGAACTATTGAGACGAGAAGGGCACTACATCAAAAGCATTGATTGTGTCAATAAGGTCATTCCACATAGGACGGAAGAAGAGAGAAAGGAGGTGGCGCGGGAATACTACTACAAAAATAAAGAAAAAATATTAGAGAAACACCTTGAAAAAATTGAATGTCCTTTTTGTAAGCATGTAATGTCTCAATACTATGTTCCAATACATCAAGGGTCAAAAAACTGTGTCAAACAGACAAAAATGAATAGTGAATAAAACGTTCTCAATAAACAGAATCGTTGTTATTGAGAAGGTTTCGGATTTCAACAGTGGGTTTGTTTGCTCATACATCTCTTGGTTTGACGGTGTTTTGAAAGATTGGATTTACTACTGATTACCTGTCCGCAGTCTGGGCATTGGAAGGGTTTTGATAGTTTCTTCTGATAGTATTTTGAAAAATAGTCTGGGTCTAATGGTTTCTTGTCATAACTTCCGTCAGGTTTCCATCGTGTGGTTGCTTGGGCTGGTGGGTTGTGGGGGTTGTTGGATTGGTGGAGTGCTTCAACCATTTGGTCAAAGACGTCTTCGTCCATTTCTTGCTTCTTTCCATCAATTATCATATAGCAGGGCATAATTTACTTTTATATAAGGCGACATTTCTTTAAGCGTCTTTGTTTTTTGCTTCGGGTAGTCGTTTTGGTTTAAAATAACACGTGTCCTGAATGTAGCGTATTTGAGATTAAAAAAAAATAGTCTCAGGACACTTGTTGAAAAATATTTTTTGTTATCAAGTCGTCATAAATTGTCGTTTTGTCCTCATCAGACTTGAGCCTTTAGCATCCCAGTCGTCTTGTATGCTATTCATATTGGATAATCATGTGCGACCTTATATGTTAAGATGGACGGTGTGCTTTCTATCACAACCCCTTCGTTCCCCGCCCAAAAAACTAACTTTTGTATCTATGTAAAACCAAGACAAGAGAAAATCCAATTTCCTCCAAACAAATAACACATAACCTTTTTGAATCCCCGAGGAGGTCAACACTCCGCTCCTCCGCACGTTTTCTAACAGGGTGAATGCAAGCGACTGGATGCATGTATATCATCATGATATAGGTAAATAGATGTATTGTGGTGTAAATTTACTGTAAAATAGCTATAACATTGTATATGTGGTCTTTGTGTGAAACCCCCATCTCCACTTCAAACATCTTCAAACTTAAAAGTTCTATCTCAATCCTTCTCAACTTCTACCCTTCAGAGTTCTCGCACCACACCTTTTGAAAATCAAAGCCGATTATGACTTCATGACCTCAAATGGGCTTGTGGGATATTGAGTTGCGCTTTGAAAATGGGAGACCAAAAACATAAAATGAAGAGTTCTCGTTGTGTATGGTTGTGCTTGTCATCCTTGTCAAGTGCTGGTTGTCTCAATGTATCGCTTCAAAAACTGTTCACAGCGAAGCCAAACACCCTTTTTCCATCCTACAAAGGTCTCTGAGTGTGTTGATGCCCTGTTCATTTGGCAACGCAACACCGGCAAATCAAAAAGGGTGAACATGACATCAGTGTCTTCGGCTTTGTCAGGACGCTTCTTATGCAACATTGACTTCAGAGCACCACACCGCTTCTTTTGCCCCAGTCAGAAAGTCATTCAGTGACGGGGTCAATCAAGCATTCGGCACGGATGGTCAGAACGTCCCGCTGCTCCTGAAGGAAAAGTCAAGTTTCCATACGGCACTCGGGGAAAGTTGAAGTTTGGGAAAAATGAAGTTTCCCAGTGGGAAAATTCTTGAAGTTCATGGGAAAATGGGGTGGGAAGCGCTCCACTCCAACCCTGTCCTCAAGGTGCTTAGTCGACATCATCACCAAGCCAAGTTAGGAGTTGTTGCAAGCCGCCTAATATGTCTCTTGCTGCGTCTCCCGCCACTACTTGAGCTACTCGTGCATCCACAATGGGACTGTTGCAATTTGGAGCAAGAAGAACGCCAATTACTGATTTTACCTGCGATTCCGCGTTCTGCACCGTGTGCTTCACTGCGTTCACATTCTGAGCAATATTTGAAGCCTTTTTGTTGCAGGTTTCTGCATTCGTAGCTCCAGTCACATCCAAGAGCACCTGCCAAGTTACAAAACATACAAACACACGCAAACAAAGACTGAAATGACGGGGTACTGTTTGTTTGCAACACATTCAGCCTTCCAACTGAGCTCAGGACTAATTCATCTGCTTCGGTCTTGAACCAAATGTTGAAGCCTTTGTGCGTGCCAGCCGTGCCACCTTCTGAAAGCGCGTGATACATGACACCATCCTCTATGCAGCGGATGCCATCAATGCAGGGGTCTCCCTCCTTTGTGAAGACTCTTGCGTTCTTCCCATCGACTTGTTGCAATCCGTCTCGTATGTCCTTGCATTGAAACTTATATTTGCGAGGCTTGCTCACAAATTTAAAGCCGTCCTCTTCCTTAGCCGCTTTGCAGGCAAGAGCCCACAAATAAGCTCGCTCTAAAAGCATACCGTCACACCAACTCCCAGATTCCATCAGAGACGAGCAGAATACTTCTTGGGCTTTGTCAAAGACTGACGAGGCTTTATCCCTGGCATCTTGAACTGCCATCAACCTCTCCAGCGAAAGAGTCAGCTTCCGGTTGTCCAACGAGATCACTCCCGGATACCTTCTGTCCTCTGCCCGGGCATCTTTTATGCCCAACAACAAGTCCACTGCTCCTGAGACCTGTTCATCTAGATCTGGCAAAGCGACGCTGAAACTTCCAAGAGCTCCAATGAGCTTGCTCTCCAGGTTTCCCTCTTTGTCAAGCTGGTCCTGGATGTTTCTGAAAGTTCTGCGCAGGTCGCTCTTCTCATCTTGTGGAATGTGGAGCTGGTCAAGACCAATGTGCACAAGGAAAAGGCTTAGCTTGACTCGCAAAGTTGCGAGCAATCGTTCTTCCTTGCCACCCCAGCCTTCGGCAGGAAGTTTGATTTTCGGCAATCCTGCCGCCGTGGCAGGTGCAGCATCTGAAGCGTCCCTGGTCAGCAAGGGGCTCACATCTACTAGCATCATGGCAATTGGAAAGCGGCAAACCTGCGACGAACCCTGTGCGGCTAGATCCGGCGGTTCGAGGTAGGTGGCAATCACCTGACACATCTGTGGAAGTGAGCCAGCCAAAAGCAGTGCTCCTCGCCTGAATTCAGGAGATGTGCTCATGGAGCGGTGCTCGTCGATGTGGAGGAGAAGGCGGTTGCTGGCGTTTCTTTGCAAGAACTTCTCCATCTCCTCCTTGTATCTGCAAGGTCTGGTATTTGTGAAGGGAGACTCCATGTTGAACTCCGAGAATAAGTTCCATTCATCTGCCTCCTGAAGCAGTGGAGCATGAAGTCAGCACCAGCCCGCTCCAGTTCATCGGTCTCCAAGCTACGCGGCGCTGGGCTGTGACCTCGTGCAAACATGAAACACATGAACATCCCGACAGAAAGTGGACAAAGGAAAGCAAAAGGAAGCACACTTCCAATTAAAATGCAGGCTGGTTGCGATTCGGACCGTTATTGGCAAATGGCATGTAGAGGTAGTGGGTGAAACTGTTTGTGCTCCCCAGTTCCACACTTCGACAGAATATCGGCAGGATGGCGGCAGACTTGCCACGCATGGTTGGAGCTGAAAGGTAAGCCACTCGGTCTCTACGCTTGTTCGCATGTTCCAAGCGGCTGACTGCGACATTTAACTCTTTACCTCTACACAAATAGGGTTGTGAGTAGAGCTTGCTGACTCCATCTGTGCCTTCTCTCACTGGTAGGGATGCTTCATAACTCTCCCATGTCTCCAGCAGCGGGATGTTTGCCGTTTTCATATTGGTCTCAAAGGCATCCTTTGTCCTCTGAGCCAAGCAATCAGTGCCACCAGGTACTTCGTTCCACCAGTTTGACGGGCGACAGCGACCGGTGGTTTTGCCCGTACCAAACCCCCGTTTCCACGGGTCAAGACCAGCAAAACCCTGCGATGAGCAAATAAAGTTGCACGCAATCCAGAGCAGTAAGGCTCTCACAAGAAGGCATGACTGCCGACGCAATGGAACTTGACGACCCCCCATGGCACAGTCTGAACTTGAAACAGAATTAGTGCTACTTTGCTGCCGAACTTGAGCGCAGAGCCGGTTGCATGTCTTCTGTTTTTGATTTGCTCTTGCGCTGCTCGTTTCAACACTAGTTGCACAAATTCAGAATATCCGGGCCGCCCTAGAGAAGTCGAAGACTACAAAGCCGGTGTTGAGTAGAGAAAGCTCCAAGACAAAACCATTTTCGAAAAAACACAACAGTAACAACAAATCTCCCCCTCATCTGAAACCAAACAATGAAGTGAAAGTTCGGGCAAAAAAGTCCCAAAATCCCCATAGGAAAAAACATCAAAGGTAAAGATGAAACATTGAACAAAAACATAAAAACCATAACAACCAACAATAAACGCTGGGATGTCCTAGCATCCCCCTTTTACCATTTTGTTTATGGGAAATCACTATTTTTAATGGGAAAACTCACTATAAATGGCCATTTTCAATAGCTATGTTAGTTTACCAGAGGGCATCCCCCATTTTGAGGAAAAATCCACGAGAGAAGTAGCCAACCATTCGGCGGTCCTAACAAACATCATCCCAAAATATCCCAAATAGGAGCATACCCCATTTTATGAACCCAACTTGGGAGGGTTTGCTCGCGGTCTTACCATGTTTACCATAATATTCCAGAATGCTGCACAAGAATAAGTTCCAGTATGGGTTCAAAAGGCCACGAATCTCCATATTGTGAGAACCCCTCCCCAACATAAAATGATTTCCGGACACCAAGTTGCTGATCAAAACCTCCCATGTTCCCTGGCCATGTTGAGGTTCCGGCCGGTCAGTTGGCAGCTCTCGCGGGGACAGCGAGAGGCCCGGGATCTTCGTTCTTACGATGAAAAGCAACTCATCGAAAAAGATCGTGGGAGAATTCTCCGTCGCCATGCAAAAAACCTCAGTGGTGGAAGGGTGAAGGACACGGTTTTGACACGCATTTTTTTTTGGAGGGAATCCAGTGCCCAAACTGATTGATGCCACACCAGATCTATCCTGTCCAAGACAGAGGTTTAAGAGAAGATGTCAAACTCGCATCCAAGACATTGATGGATTTGTACACAAAATCTGCCAATCAAAAACTTCCAGTTTCATACGGAAATTTAGCGCCCAGTAAGTCATGACACCCCATAAATGGTCCCAAACATGCATGTGTAACCATGGTTTCTGTGTGGAAAGGATTATAGTATGAAAACCAGAACCATTCACAGATGATTTTCTGAATGGAAGACCGTAGGTTTTGCAGATGTTAAGGTACTGGAGGGTTGCCGTATGTTATGCTACACTGCTTCACCAAAATACAAATGCCAATGGCTACCAGGACCAATGTTGCCAACAGTTCACCACCTACCCTTTTGTAAATCTATGTAACCTGGCAATGGGAAATTGCCACGCACAATATAGGACAATTATCTAGACAAGGAATGAAAGGAAACTTGTTGACTGCCTGACTGAATGACCAGAAGGCCATCCTAGGTAATGCTCAAAACTGAAGTATGGTTCCACTTTAAATTGTGTTTTATTTTAAAGCCGTCCCGATAATATGCCATAAAGTCAGCACAACCAATCACATCCCTTTTATATGAATCAAACACAATAAAACACACATATGTATATATATATGTATATATGTGTATATATATATACATATACATATATATGCTAGCCCCCCAAAAAACCTACCTTTTGCTATCTTGTAGCCAGTAGCTTGCACTCGAAACATGATGCCTTGTGAAAACCTGCGTCTTTTCAGCAGATATGGTACAGACAACTCGACATGTAAATCCACTTTGCAGCATGATTCTTGGCAAGTTTCAGCATTAACAAGTTGCAGAAGCAGGTTTGCAAGCCTCAGACATGTTTGAACATTCTTTTGTTTGAGTCGCAAAAGTTCAGACGAAACACACATACCAGTAAAAATAGTAAAAAGGTAGTTTTTTTTTGGGGGGGTACCATATATATATATATACATATATACATATATATATATTTATCAACCCCCAACTAGTTTTGTATTTAACTACTGTATTATATAAATAGGTTTTCATGATGTTGAACCATACCCACATAGAAATTGACCAAGTGCAACATGGGATAAACATGGACAACTCTCCCACTCCAATTTCGCTGGTCAACCCCCCCTTATATATATATAAACATATCCATCATTATTATGATTATTATTGATCATCACCATCATCATCATCATCACCATCATCATCATCATCATCATCATCATCATCACCATCATCATCATCATCATCACCACCACCACAATCTCACTTTCAAGATTGTGGGTATGTCCCAAAACAGGCTACCCAGAGTCCACTGGTCCGTCTCTGAGGGCCCCCAGCCCGGTACCAATTGTCAGGACTCTGGTAGATCCTTCGGCGAGACCGACCCGAGCTTTGGGTAAACGAAGCATATGGGTGAACGAGAAAAATACAAATGAAAGTGGAACAGAGTAAATAGATGTAAATGGGAAAACATGATAAACGTGAAATTGATGGGAATGTTGCTCAAGTTGGAAAACATGCAATCTGAAAACTCTAAAATGTCCAATCTAACCAATAAAAGAATGTGAATTGTGCCAAAAAGAAACATGGGATCCACTGCAAGCAACAAATTGTAGGGATTAACTGTCCAAAACACTACAGTAACTCAGTAACTTGACAAGGGAAGTCCACATTTCTGATAGGTTTGTCAGTGGATAGCCTGAACAACCCATGGCCATGGCTGAGAGCCGCGGCCGATCGGCACGAAGTTTCAAGCATCTCACCGTGGAACGCCTCATGGCCCGTGGAGTTGCGAACCGTTGGATTAGCAAAGGGTAACTCTTTAAAATATGCAATAATTGTATTCATTAGCAAAGGGTATGCATATTTCATAAACTCTTTGATAAGCAATATGATTACCAGGTATGTCACATGCAATAATTGTCTATATATATATAATATATTATGCTATGGCCTTTGTAAGTCCTAATGAGATTCTCCGGTAGTAAAATCCCAAAGATTGTTCTATCAATGGCTGCTGCAAAATCTCTTCCACTGAAATAGACGCCCGAAAATAAACAAATTAGAAGCTGCAAACTGGAGTTTAGAGGAATATCTAATTATCTAAGTCTAGTGTATTCATGCCTTATTTATGAACGATTGACCGTGGCGACCCATGGCATTGCCATAGCACCACGGCAATCCCACTGGATAGCCTGGCTATGTGGATGTCCCATCATGTCCCATTTCATTGGCAAACAACCCATGGCATCCACAATTTTCTTGGGTACCCTCTGGTAAAATAACATAGCTATGGAAAATCAGCAGTTTTAATGGAAAAACTCACTATAGATGGGCCATGTTCAATAACTATGTTAAATTACCAGAGGGTACTTTTGTTGACTCATAGATGGTAATAGAATCAAATAGATTCAAATAGAAACATCCGCATCAGGTAGAAAATAATGAAAAATACAGATATGTGAGCCCAAAAAAAAGACTGCCACTAGCCATAGACAAACATGTCATGTCTAGTACCAACATGCACCGTTTCCATTCCACGCTTCTGTTAATTTGACAGAGCCATACCTTGATAAAGCCGGGCCCAATATGTTGCATATCCGAAGCAATTTCAGTTTCTCATTTCAGCAATCATCCCATTTTGATTGAGATGCTAAGTTTCATCAAATCTCATGATGGACATCAGGAATCACGTCATTTTTCACGTCAAATTCCATTCAAGTCCCGCGCCGCAAGTCCCCAATGAGGTGCCCAAAATATCTGGAGACATCCGCATCGGCCAGCGGCCAGCTTGTAGCATATCATTTGTTGCAGAAAAATATCACCAACGAATTAATGGGTCTCATCAACGTAAAAAAAGATGTTATAAGTTATAATCCCAGAAACGTGACTCATATGGCGCAGCAAGTTGCAGGAATTTTACATATGTTTTTTATGGACTTGGAAGCTCCAAACTAATGGATCAGCCTGAAATCCACCGAAACGTTCAGGTTCCCAAACAGCTGCACGTCCACCGCTGTGGGCCATGAGTTCAGCTCCGCCCGGTACCTTTTTTTTAATGCTTCATGATGGTGAATGATCGTTAGTAATAGGAGAACTCATGGATTAATGGGATATTTCGTGATATTTGATGAATTCATGGATTAATGGGATATTGAATGGATTAATAACATATATTTAATGGGATACATCTCATGGGACACCCGCCATGGTAACCAACAATGGGGCCTCTCCCTGTCAGCCATGTTTGAGTGAGGGTTTTTTGCGTTTTTCAAACCAAGCAGTTCAACTTAAGTTTCTGGGAAAATGTTTGATTAACATATGGTCAAATGGATTCAAATGGTACAAACTTGGAGATATCAACTAAAATGATACTTGGACATGTCCGAAACTAGGGATTTGGACACAAACTATGGCAAATAAACCATGGGATTTAGGGGGTAGCCTCTTTTCAAACAAACACATCTAGCAACAATTTACATTTGTAGACATAAACTGGGATTGAATATCATTTGACAAACAAACATGAAATACCATCGGCAACAGAACAAAATGCAAGTTCAATTAGAAAGTACTGGGGTTGAAACCAATAGACAGAAAAGGGGCAAACAACATATTTTGATAACCAGTGAAAAATGCAAGGCGATTGTGTAATATAACTTATAACATCTTGTAACCGACAGGAATGAACATGTGACACATACAGCACCTTTTTTTTATAATAAAATGGATAGGTCCATTCACTGCAAATGGATAGGTCATTTTTGCTGGGTGGATTTTCCAACCATCTCCTCATGTTTTCCGGAAACTGAGATGCCCGGCAAAGCCAACGCCCAGTCCTGTCAGAAATCAGGTCAGAATGAGGTTTCTCCATCATTTTCAGCAAAAATAGGAGCAACTGCTGGGTCATTCTGACCAGCTCAACCAGTGAACAGATGCCCCTGTTCAACCAACCTTCCTGGCACTTAGTAGTTGCAACCAACGGCTATGATAGGTTTGTAGTGAAATTCTTGCGACACAGATACGCGCGGATCATGGGATCCGAACTGTCATATCATTGGCGATATATTTTACCCCGATTGCTTTGACATGATTTGAGTTTCTATCCCAAGTTTATCCAAGTTTCTTGATGTACTGTACCTATAGGATCCTATAAGTCTGTTCCTGGTTTCCTCCCTTTTTGTTGCTACTCCAGGTGTTTTGTTGATCATCCTGCTGTCTTTGTGCGGCACCTTGGCTGAAACGCTTCCCTTGTCTTCGAACAAACGCCAAATTGCTCGAAACTCCTGGCACTGCACAGTGGATGGGTTTCTCTCAAGATGGAGAAACTACAGGGGGAAATCCATGGCTCTTTTGGCCATCAAAAAGTACGAAATGGGTGATTCTCAACCATGGGATACAATGGAATGTGGCAATACGTCATTTTGAGACATACGCTGTAGTGCACGACACTGTGCGCATGTCTGGCGAAGTCCCGCTTTATCCATATGCTCCATGTGTATCCCAAAAGATGATCATATTCTTTCTGATTCAACAATTGCAGTTGTGGGAGGTACCCTCTGGTAATTTAACATAGCTATTGAAAATGGCCCATTTATAGTGGATTTTCCCATTGAAAATGGTGATGTTCCATTGCTATGTTAGTTTACCAGAGGGTATCTGTATTTTTTGCCAGACCCAAAAATATCGGATTGTTGTTGATCGTCCATTAAATATCAAAACACAATCCCTCTGTATTTCCATTATTTTCCCCGTTATATCGCCATCATTGTTGGTTTGTACATCCATTGTTCCATTGTTCATTGGTTAAACGGTTAAACCATCTTAAATGCCTACTTTTGCTGTTTAACCCCGCCAATGAATTACACATCAGTAGTATATGCATGTGTGAAATCACCGTTTTCATGGTCAGTTCCCTATGTTTGGACCGGCCCTTGGGGCCCCGCAAAGCGGGGCCGCTGATGAGTTCCAGCCTCCAAACTCACTCCACGAACCACTGCAGAGGCCACATCCTGTGGAAAATGTCAAGCCCAGGGCCATTTCTATGACCATAGACCATAGATGATGTGGTTAATAGATGGTGGTTAATACATTAATCATCATTAATCTATGACCATGACCATTAACCATGTAATGATATCTAGGAACGATGGTTAATGGTGGTTAATAGTGATTTAAAATTGTTAATAAGGGTTAATCATCGCATGTAATGGCGAATAATCCAGATAAATGCTGCTTTTCATGAGATACAGTGGGATTTCACAATGCGATACAATTTCGTGGGATAATATTTACAGACGCATAATTGGATTAGGGTGTAACTGTATCAACATGTTGGCTTGAGGCATTTTTAACGGTTGAAATAGTTTTACCAGCAAAATATGGGGGTGTCCAGTTTAATTTTCCCTGAAACCAATGAATTGGCTCACAGCTCTCCAACAGACAAAAACTTGGAGGACAATCACAGTATGTACTTCGTGCAGAAGTCCACGACTTTTTGCGGCTATTCCCAGCTATATATATATTTATATGGGAGCGTCTGAAAAAGGGTTGCACCATGTTGCACCCCCACGTGGCCTTTTCAATGGGGAAAGTGGTATCCCAATATCATCCATATTAAAACATCTTAAACCACATGAAACACAATTTGCAGTAATCATTATGATTGCTATTACCAGTTAACCATATAAAACTAAGAAAAACTGCCAATAGAGGCCATAGTCCATAAAATATCCCATTCAATTTCTGCAGCCCCATCTTCCCACCTGGCTCTCAATGCCAGGCAGAGCTAAGAGTCTTTGCCTGGCACGGAAGGTTCAAATCAGAGTGCTTCAACCAGATTTATATTTGGAATAGGCTCACAATATAGATATGCATACATACACATGAATATATCTATGGTACATCTATAATATTATATACATGCAATATATAATACACGTTGTGGGTGGACCTCAACCATCGTTGGCTCCTAGACTACACGAGATTGAGATAAATCGTATTCGATTATGTTTGTCCATGATGATCTATGTTTTCAATTTCAATGATGTTTCATGTTCGATCAATATACATCCAAGTTGAGTATGCCGTTGTACTGTAATCATCAATATTCAGCCATGTGTAGCCAGGCGATACATCAGCCATTTAGAACATAAAAAGGATCATATCAGGATGAATACCCTGGAATTTAAGATGGGTCCGCGAAGGGTTATAGCCATAACTTGGGCTACACCTTATCTTCAAACACCCCTAAACGTCAAATTGCTCATGATTTTCCAAAAATATTCTCATTAGTGTTGGTTTATATCTCCAATTTTCCCATTATCCATTGGTGAAATCCTTAATCTTGTTAGTTGAATAGTTGAAATAAATAAATCAAACATGATTAACCCGGCCATTCAATCCCGTATAAATCCCATGTAAATCCCATATATGTCCATGGTAAAATCCCTATTTTGCATGGTAACATCGACATGACCACCCCGGCGCCAATCCTCATCCCCCGGATCAGCTTCTCGAAGCTTATACGGCCGTACCTGCACCAAACGTACCGGGAAAATCATGGGCGCCGGGAGAAACTGAGAACCATCATAAACAAACAACAATGACTGTTATGTTAACTGTCATATGGTTCAAAATTTGACATGTATATATATAATATACATATATATATATATACATAAATAAAATTGTAATATTATTGTATGGTGGTTCAAACATTTGAGACCTGTAACATCCTGCAACAACCTGTGTTTCATCGGTTTCGAGTAGATCCAGGGCTTTGAAGGACCTCATGTTGGCCCCGAAACGGCTCTTGGCCGCTGGCCGATCAGCGCCACAGTCTTGGAAGAAGGTCTCCCAACCTTGGCTGCACAGCCAGAGGGGCGGAGAACTTCGACATGTTTCAAAGACTCTGAAGCCACATGAGCCTATTCTCATCATCATAAGAATAATAATAATAATAATCACCATCATTATCATCATCATCACCATCATCATCATCACCACCATCACCATCACCATCATTATCATCATGATTTTCATTGTCATCGTCATCACCGTGAGCCACAGCAACCACAATAGTAACAGCAAGGTTTGGAGAGTGCTATGATCAGATTGACATCAAGGTTCGTCTTAAAGCCATTGGGTGTTGTCCATTACAAAAATCTCCAGTCAAGGATAAAGCTAAATCCCCATGTTTGGCCGGTGAACCTCCGCCATTTTACTGGTTGAAAGCCATTGAATCCCATTGAATGCCCAGATTTGGATATAAATTATTAACATCTATTATCTATTATCGAATATCCATTATCTAATATCAAATTTGGGGTAAAATCCATTATCTATTGTAGATATTAACATCCATTATCGGACTATCTATTATCTAATATCTAATAAATATCTCATTTCTAGATGTTTTTTCTCCACTCCATGGGGGTAAACCTGTCTGCCGGACGGCCCGTTCCGAACCCCGAAACAACGCCGGGCGGCCGTCCCGGCGAAGGGCCCGGCCCCTGGGCGAGGTGTCAACTGACGGGACAAGCTTCGTCGATTCAGCGACCATCCCATGATCATCATCCATATGATCATCATCCGTGTATTAATATATATATATATATGTATATGTATATGTGTATATAAAAATATCTATCTATGTATATATATATAATATGTGTATATATTGATGTACGTACTGTAGAATCTATGGTAAGGAATCAGAAGTTCTGCCAATTGCCATTGATCTAAGGCGTCTTGATGGAACCAAGTGGAACTGAGGTCCCAGGCCGGCCGAAATACGATCTGAGGGCACTTTCGAGAGTTCGAATCACATAGAGCTGATCCTTGAGCTGAACAGGATTGACCATGCCTCTAATGGTCAATATATATATATATATATGTAGTATGATTCTTATTCTTATTATTATTGATATTATCATTACTATTAATTATTTTTACTATATATACAATATGTTCATTCATTTTTGAGGGTCTTGAGCCCTTGAGAAATTGAGCCATTTCTATCCGACGAACATCTCCGTCGGCGCCTCTTCTGAAAGCAGCGACGTCTCATCGTCCTGGTGGCAGCAAGTTGCCGATCAAACTCCACTTCTTGGTAGTTGAGTTTGATTAAGATCTTGGTTTAAGATCCATTTTGGGTCAAAAAAAATGGATTCCGGATATTTCCTGATTCTGAAGTTCTTTTTTGTTGCATGTTGAAACCTATGTTTTTGTGTTTTTGGTCAATGTATTTTACTCCCTGGTGATGACCGATGATCATTTCGACCGCCCATGTCGATTGGTTGGTGACTTACCTGTCGATTGAATCCCGGAATCCCCTATTTCTAATTAAGGTCTATACGTCATATGTACGTATATAGATACTATGTATATATATATATATGGATATGATACTATGTGTATGTATATATATTGTATATATATATATATAATTTTTATATATATACACACAATAATATGTTATATGAACGTATAGAATCGTATGATCCCATGTTAGCCTCTGAAGGCCCCCAGGCCCCAGCCATGCCCAGGCCCCAGCCCACCTTGGAGGTTTGGGTGTCTTGTGTGTCTGGCCTTAGATCGATGGATGGCTTAGGGCTACCCCTATTTTAGGAAACCTTCATTCATAGATGAACCATAATATGTTAACTATAGATGGATGAACATTCATAATGGATCATAACATTTATGAAACATGGTTTAAACATTCATAATATGTTAACTATAACTGAGTTAACATAGGAACATCTATGGTTCAACATGGTTCAACATGGTTCATAATATGTTAACTATAACTGAGCTGAACCATGTTGAACCATAGATGGATGAACAATATGATTAACTAATTAGTGACATTTTGTCACCTACATCCAGTGGATGGTTGCGAAATCCTGCACCATCTTGGATGGTTGAAACCCTATAAATAAGTGGGATGTTTACCACCTATCAACTGCTGCAGGATTTCGCAACCATCCACCGTATGTTAACTATAACTAAGTTTAACCCATGATTTATGGCAGATATCAAAATGTTAAAAAATAGCAACTCCAACTAATAGTTGAATGGTTTGGGTTTATGATTTTAAACTATGGCTTCTGGTAGATATGGAAGTATACCACCCATGAATAATGGAAACATGGAGGTATAAACCAACAATAATAGGGATATGATGGGAATATAATGGAACATATCCAAGAATCTAAACGATATGGGTCTGTCTGAAAAATGGCTCTTTAAAAGGAAATATTGTGATTAGCCATTGGATTGAGGGCTAACCCATTTTCAGCAAAAGGGGGTTATAAACTAATTTTTAACTGGGAAGGTCGCAGCTTGTAGATGATTCTCATTCTCCTGTGAAAATTGGCAAAACAACCCAAAATCTCATTTTGTTTGGCTCGAAGCTTGCTGGGACTACGGTAGAAGTCAGCAGTCCCAGTAGGGACCAATCATTGATAAGAGTGGATATGTAACCTCAAAATAGTTGCATCATGTTTCCATGTGGGTTTGTCTGACAATGTGGTATACAGTAGACCACAAATGGCTATTTTAAATAGGGACAATGATGACTTAATGGATTCAGGGGTACCATATGTTCAGACAAACCTATTTTGCTCGCAGCCCTGTTGCTGAACATCGAAGTAACTGGCCATATTCATCCCAGCAACTGTGGTATTATACCGAACCAGACCTTTTGGTAATCAAGCATGTCTTGCTGAACAATCCCTATGTTGTAGATTATTTTTCCATCAACACGGTGGTTTTCCAGTTGCCAGCTTTGCCTATCAGAGGATATATACCCAATCATTGATCATTATCTCAACTTCATACATGTCTCGAATCAGAAAATGAAGTTTCAAATCTAGATATTTGTAAAATTATCAAACATCAAAATCAAAATCTCGAAGTTATCTATCTTTAATAAAAAACACATTATATATATATATATGATGATTATTCCCCTTAAGATGTCCATGTGGTGAGCCCTGAAAAAGCTACTGCCTCGGGGCCCGAGCTTCATTCGGCTTCGTGCAAAGACTACGAAATCGTCGATCGACACGTGGCCTGCTTAGCTGTCCAAACAACAAGTCGTGGAGAACTCCAGTGGGATAGAATTGTATACATCTATGCATGCGTGAATGCATGGATGTACGTAGGGTATGGCATGGTATTGTATGTATGGTATGGCATGGCATCGCATGGCATGACATGGCATGGTATGGATGGTATGTAGTGGTATGCAATTTAATGTCATGTCATGTCATGTATGCATGCATGATATATATATATATTATATATAAGATACATGTATTATGTAGATATATAATCTCATATATCATCTGTATATATTTGTTTAACCGCTACAATGTGACCAAATAAATGGTATGGATCCCATGGATCCCATGTCATCCGGCAGCTTGGGAACTAAAGCTTGGTACACTGACAAATGAGATCATATATCTATATAAATTATACATATATATATATTTCATAGATATCATTTATATACACACATTTATTTATATATATATAATCATATATATATAGAAATCAACAAACTTGAGATCCCTTAAATTTCTGGTGACTATGAGTTGAGGCAATTCATCCGTTTTTCAAGATGATGACAAACAGCCTATGGACATTTTTACCATCCGCGGTTCAGGCATCCCTGAAACTCCCAACTGGGTCGTCCACCAGACGCATCCATGGCTTTCCACACACCGCCTGAACGATGCAAAAATCGCTGGATGCCAAACTCAGATCGCCAACAGCCAAGGAGTTGGCACAGTGACCTGCGAATTGAATATCTATATATTAGTCTATTGGTGGTGTTATATCATGTTATATCTATAATGGTGTGTTTGATGGAAATTGAATCGAAATTAAATCGATTACTGCGTAGTAGCTGGCATTAGTCGTCAATTTCCATCAAACACACCATTCGAATCAGAAGCCCAGGCAGCCCAGTTGTACGGATATCCAGTGCAGGGTGATGCAGGGTGTACCCTCTGGCAAACGTTTTCATAACTATGGAAAATCATCATGCATTTTTCATGGGAAAACTCACTATTTCTATGGCCATGTTCAATGTCGCAAACTCTTAGTTTACCAGAGGGTAAATGTGATGTCACCATTTTCAATGGCTAAATCCACCAAAAAAAAGATGGCCCAAAAAAAAAATAGTTGATGTACCCATTAAAGATGGTCATTTTACCATAGCTTTTTGTTAACGTAGCCACCAGAGGCTGACTGAGTCGCCATTGAGTCAACTGAGTCAAAAAACCGCTGGGATGGATGGATGTTTTAAGCCATCCCGATGATTGATGGATACTATTGGAATTTTTTGACTAGATCTCCATGGTGCTTAAAGCCCCAAATGCTTTTTTTTGTTTATATCCCATTGTCATTCCATGGCCACATGGCACCATTGGTCATGCGCTCCAAGCAACGCAATTCTTCATCACTCAGCATCGACTCACCTTGAAGAAAAACCAGCGCTTGTTTCATGTCATCGAAACTGAGTTGGAAAGATGCGATAATAACATGGAACCACATACCTATAATATATATATATATATATGTATATATATATATTATACATTTATATACATATGTATATAATATATATATATGATACCATGGGATACCAACAAATGAGTATAACATATATCATCAAACGTTATATGTTTTCTACATCTGATGCCATCCTGATATAGTGAACGATGATTTTCCGACATTTACATTTCGAAGTACGCATACATGGAGTGTCTGTAGTTTCAAGGGGACCGGTGAATCTTCACACCTTCCAGGGACCTGAGAAAGTAGTGGCCTGTCCATCTCGTCCTTTAGGGTAGTTGAAAAAATGTTTGTCCTCGGTCCTCAACAACTACGGAACTGTTGCAGCTTGAACTAAGCACAACAGCAATGCATTGAATTTAAATGCAGTCAAGCTATGTCAAGCTGCACAGTACAGTGAGGCCTTACCATCAAATAGATGTGCGTAAAGAAAAGTTGCTAAGGGAGCCATAACCACAACCTTAGAACCCAATCATATACTCTCTGGTAATTTAACATAGCTATTGAAAATCAACATTTTTAATGGGAAAATCCACTATTAATAGTCATTTTCAATAGCTATGTTAAATTACAAGAGGGTATATAGATATAACACATCCCTTGTTCACTTGCCAAATGGAAAGCACTTCCTTTTTCGGATGTCACCGGATTCATCAGGCCTTTTGCTAAACATGTTGACCTGGATTCCAAATGACTTCTGCTATGATCTGAGTAGTTAAAACCATGTTGAACCATAGATGGATAAACTATATGTTTGAAAAATTAGATCTAATTAGTGACATTTTGTCACCTACATCCAGTGGATGGTTGCGATAGCACCTCCTTGGATGGTTGAAACATGTTGAAACCCTGTAAATAATGGGATGTTTAGCACAGATCAACTGGTGCAGGACTTGTTCTACCAACAGGACCATCCCTCATTCTCTGGGTCAAGCTGCTAGATAGGGGGGATGATGGGGGATGGAGATATCTGGATGTCCAACATTTTGTTGAGCAGTGATGAAAACCCTGTGCCGTTCCACTATATTGATCTATATTGGTTGGTTTAGAACAGTTTAGAACGGGATTCTGAGAATGGAAAATGATAATTCCCGAAATATTGGCTAGGACAAAAACCTGAAATTTGATGATTAAACCAAGAGGTTTACGGTAAACACCATCCAAGGACGCAGCTGATCTTGAGGCCGGGATAGGGCTTGCGAACTACCTGCGCAGTTCGCAGGATGAGAAAATCGGCCAACAAAAAAAATAGGTGGTAGTAACAAGCAAAAACGATGTACAAACCAACAAAAATATATGGGTATGGGTCAAAATTAGGTACCCCAATAATTGGATGGTTAATACTAAACTAGACTAACATCTGTGGTCCCCTAGGTCTTCCATTTTGACCCACATCCATATGGAGCTGAGCTACATCCGATCTTTGTTCTACTAGTTTGAAGGAAGTGTCAGCGATGCAACATTCCAATGTCGATTTTTGAGGTTTGCAAGTTGCAATCCCAAGAGTGACTTTCATGGGCTTTCCATAAATGGATCGCTGGATAGTCTATTTCATGGAAAAAAACTATATTAAAATTGGTAAATCAACTATCAATGGCATTTTCAATAGCTAATTATGTTAAATTACCAGAGGGTAATCCTATTTAAATGGATGATTTAGGGGTACCCCCATGGCTTAGGAAACCTCCAAATCAAGGCTCGGGAGGTGGAAAAGTCTTGGAAAAAGCTGTGTCGACTGGACTTTTTGCGCATCTGATAGCATCACTTAAGCAACAGCAAAGTCACATAGATCTATGGAAAATCCATCATTTTGGGTTGGTCACCCTGACCCAGCTATATAAAGCTTAGAAAAACCATGCAGAAAACATAGCTGTTTAGGATAAGTTGATCCATTCCCAAAATCTTCGGCAACCAAGTTTACTTGGTACATATTGTCACCCATCATCATGGGAATGTAGTTCCATTCTGGGAAATTTAAGTATGAATCCAAATATTTAGTACCCATCATTATCAATTAGTACTACCATCTGGTTATGACTAACATAGCCATGGAAAATCACCATTTTCAATAGGTAAACCATCTATTTCTATGGCCCATCTATACCATGGCTATGTTAAATAACCAGAGGGTAATGGTTTCCCCCAGAAACTTGGCTGTTGTCCCATGCACCTTCGCCAGTTCTTCGTAATCCAAACGGCCGGAAGTATCCTGCCCAGTGAGCCGACAATGAAAAACCTGGAGCTATACATTCTGAATGGGCGATAGAGTAAATATAAGATTGTATAACAATACTATATATATACACATACGTATTGTATGTATATATATATACATACATACATACATACATTTACATTACATTACATTACATTACATTACATTACATTACATTACATTACATTACATTACATTACATTACATTACATTACATACATACATACATATTACAGTATATATATATTATTACATATATATATATTGTCAATGCATACATTTATTTAGAATATTTTCTCCGTATCATGGTGGTTGTCATCCCCCTGATATGAAATATGTCACATTCCCGCTACCCCAACCACTCGTTGGATACCATATCATCCTTGTCAACAAGGATATCTATCAAAATCCTACTCAACTGGAACAGAGATATCATCCCAAATGAAGAAGAAACGTCTGGAGCAGCGTGCCTCAACTTTTCTTCATTGGGGCGTATTTGAACCTTGTTAGAGGCTGAGGATGGCTTAGGCTGATATTGATACTGACCCCTCCTGCTACTGCAATGAAGTGAGGTGTAGGGGCTTCGCGGCGCTTCTTTTGGTCCTTTGAGTTCTCGCATGCATGGGCTGCTGACCGGGCTGTTGGCCAAGTATGTCCCCAGACCCTGCCGTGGCAAAATGGTGACACTTAAATTCCAAATGCACAGATCTTGCCAGCTGCCAGAAAAGCATTGACTGGAATAAAGGTTCGAAGATTTATTAAAATGAGTTTGTCTGAAAATATGGTATCCCAGAATCCCACGTTTTTTCTTGATCCTTCCGATGGAACTTGACAAACATTAGGATACAACATACACTTTTGGACAACCCCAAATGGGTGTGTCCAAACATGGGAGCAGCAAAGAAAAATGGCCTTCCTTCATCTCAGACATATTCCAGATAGAAGTGGATATACAGCCATAGTTTTGGGGTTTATAATATACAGTATTATATCCCAACTAACGGCGGTTCGAATATATTCATATCCATAAGTTCAACTGCATGAGCCTCATACGTGTCATAGCTTCAGGCCCTGGCGGATCTCCTAGAGGTGTTGGTGGGACTGATATCTACCAGTCTACCGTGGATGAGGATGATGGTGATGGTGATGATGATGATGATGATGAGGAGGAGGAGGAGGATGAGCACAGGCTGATGAACGTCATTTGGCAGCTAGAGTCGCTAGAGTGTCTGTGCTGAGCAGCGAGCATCTCCAGCAAAAGCAAGATGAATGCTGTGAAACAAGCACTGGCAACATAACATTTCAAGTTTGATTGGCCGAGCATGATCACCAATTGTTGTTTCAGGTATTATGTCATTTCAATTCATTTCATGTATTACTGTATACATCTACATACACCGTGTGTATTTGAACTATCTATCTACATGGCACGTGTGAATACAGCACGTGTTGAAAATGATTGACACAACATGTCCAGATTTCGCGGCCACCCATATCAGTCCATGCAACGCAACGCAACACATGTTTACCGTGTTTTTTTCCGATGGGTGGTTTCAACCCAGCTCACACATATCCTAAACCTATGAGAGCCGTTGGGGAGTGTTATCCTTGAAAGATCAACCAACAGTTTCACTGGTCAGACATGTTCCCCAATTCATGGTGCTAAAATGTGCAGAAAACTCAGATATTCAAGTTGGTCAGGTGGCTGTCGTTTCCTCTCTACATGATTTGGGTGACGGACCTGTCCTGTAAATGTTCCCTTCTACCAATCCATCGAGGCATCCATCTGTTGGATGTCTGCCATGGGTGATTGTTTTTTGGGGTATGTAGGTAGGTATGTAAATATACCATGCCATGCCATACATCAGGCTGATTTTCATTATATATCATATATTATTTATTATATATATATATATATCCCAGACCTCATGAAATGGGGTTCCCCTACTATTGACACACAATGACACACAGTGACACACACACACATACGTATAGCTACTTGCGAGAAAAAACTTGAACTACGGCGGCAGGGGTCACAAAGGCAGGCATGTAGAAACTTTGACCTAAAGGTATAGCAGTTTGCCATATAACAAGCGATTCATCGAAAAACTCTTGCTGGGTTCGCTGCAGCTTAAAAAAATTGAAATCCCAGCTGAAGCTGCTGAAGTTGCTGCTACTCCGAGCCTTCGAACTGTTGAAAAAACACTTTGCAATTGGATGATTGAAGAGTTACCATCCGCTGTCATCAAACGTGGCTAGCTGGGAAATTTCCTATACATGTAGGTTTCTAGCTGGGAAAATCATCAATGGGGAATTGTCCATTGCCATGTTTGATTACCAGAAGGTACTTTAAGGTCCTCAAACTAACATTACGAAACATATACAAAACACAGTAGCCTATACGCATTTCCACGGCTACCGAGTAAACAGCAAACCCAATGTCGGTTGATAAACACGGGGGGACCAGGGTTTGAAGCGGAACTCCAAAGAAAGCAACTATTTTGTATATCAATGCTGTATGGCATAGTTGAACGGACCAAATATGTGTATTTTAAAGATCCAAAATTGTACAATATTGTATGAATGTATATATGCAACATGATGTAACCAGTTTGAAACCCTAGGGGTTGTTCTGATGATAGTCAAGCAAGTATAGAACCGTGCAGTTACCAGCTGCTTGACATAAACCCAAAGGCCCCAGCCAAACCATCAATGGTTTTCATCGATAAGCCACAGCCGCAGGTTCAGCGGTTCAGCCCTTTACCAGCGGGCGTCGTGAAGGCTGCAATTATCTTGGATAGACAGCACGCAAGGTTAAAGTGCAGCTCAATGCGCTCTGGATCATTCATAGAAAAAAATCTACCACCCCAAAGCTGGTATTGTTTGTTGCTTTTTCCGCCCATCAAATAGATGAGTTACCCACAGCTATTCAGAACTCCGTGGGTCGGTTTGGCTTCGAATTCTCTGAATGGGTGTGCCTGAGAGGGTTAGGATACTGACAAAATTTAAAATGTTCCATGCTAATAATTAATTGGAGGTACCCTGGTTTAGACAACTCATATGTTTCAACCCAACCCCGCTCCGATGTTGGCTTCACTATTCTTCACTATCTATATCTCATGAGACTCATCCCGGTTTCTGAAGTGATTGAGCATCAAGTGAGCTGCAGTATGCTGATGAATAAATTCTGAGTCCACCCACCAGACACCAAGTCAACTTTCGACTTGTCCTGGTGGTTGAATCCATTCTCTGTTGCCACAGAGGACTATGGCTATGGACCAAAATGTCAAAGCCTCACCCCTACATGGGCAAGTCATATTTCGGCAGTTCTGTGGGCATTTCCACCATGCATACTTCAGCCAGCCAGACATTTTGACCCATCCCCATGATAAATGTCCGAGGAGCACCTTGCATTCCCTGGATGAAAATGTGACAATCACACACCGCTGGCGGACCGCAGAGGATTTCGTTCCTCTTCACTGAGCGGTGTGGTGGCATCCACACACACGTCCCTCAGTCCAAGACGCCCAGTTTTTTCTGTGGGTTGGTTGGCAAAATCTCAAGCAGAATCGCAGAAACCATCCGATTCCAGGAATCACAGGTTGCTATCGACTTGTTTTGAGCAGAACCAGGCTTGGAATCGCTAAAAACGGCAGGAGCTGGGAGACGGTAGTGCAAAAAAAACTTTTAAAAAGTAGAACCAAAGGGCATTGGAATTGTTCCAGGAAACTATGAGTTATTTAACAAGAAACAGCAAGACATACCCAGAAATACCTAGAAATATCCAGAAACCCATGGTGTTTTACCCATCAAAGATGGTGTCCGACGTAGTTTTTCCCATCATCCAATTCAGGGACAAAGTCATTTCCTGATGTGGAAAGCCCAATACGGAAACCCAATATTGAAAGGTTGCAAAAAACTATCCAAAAGCCACCTGTACATGGTTTATGCTTGGCTTTACCACACTAGATTGTATTTACCACTACAAATCGAGTCTTAGATCACACATCATGTTGACCAGGCCGATGTGTTTCAACGAATTCAGCACTTTATCAGCTGCCCGTGGTCATCGCCAAGCATCAGCAACAGGTTCTTGTAGAGCTGTCCTGGTTGTGTCCAGTTTGTGTCCAGGGTGGGCCATCTTTCAGGAGAGTTGCCCCAACAGAATCATGAGAGTTGCCTATCGCCCCAACAAAATGACAAGAAAAAAATGCATTTTTTCACCAGTGGGTTTTGGGTCAACTTCTTCCCCCATACTTGGTGTGAAAAAAACATATTCATGCTGGCAACTTGAGCCTGCCAACCGAGTGCGAGAGAAACTGTACCAAAGCTCAACCTTTGATGGGCCCCCTGAAACTCAACATGGCACCCAAATAACAAACCATGTACCTTCAAGGTTTCCGGGGACAAAATTTCTGGGTCACGCCCATATCTGGTGGTTTAACCGTTTAACCTAATTGTTTTGCATACTTGGTCAATGGCCCAGCATAAACTGCATTCTAGTTCATCATGCTTATATTTCCTAAAATCCCATGATTGATGATCCTTTTCCCCCATTTTTTCTGGGCTATCTCAATATACCCTCATCTTTAAACAAAGCCATATCCACCATATTTTTGTTGGTGAAACCCAAGACACTCAGTTGCAGTCCCAGTGGCTTTCGGCAGGTGCTTCGTTGGACAACTCTGCATGAATTCCAGCTCGACATGCAGCAGCAATACCAGCCCTGGTGTCATTTTGATTTGTCTCGCCATGGGGGGATACCCAGTTACCCCGAAAGTGCATTATATATATATATATATCTGGTTGGTGGTTTCAACCCCTCTGAAAAATATTACAGTAGTCAGTTGGGATGATTATTCCCAATATATGGGAAAATAAAAAAAATGTTCCAAACCACCAACCAGTTATTATATATATATATATACCGTATATGGTATATAGATATATAATTCCTGTTGGGAAAATGCCCGTGTTTCACAATTGAATCCGGGACACGACCACATACCTAATCACGATCACATGCATTCAAGTGGGTGGTAATCAAAAACAAGGCCAAAAGACATGGTCAGCAATTGTGTGGCCTTAATTCCAGGATATGGATGTAACTAGCCTGAAACCCTGCATTGCACATGCGATCCACTTTTTTCAAAATCAACACACAAACTAAAAATACCTAAAACATAGCTGGTATTGGATTTATCATCGCGCTTTAACAGCTGTATGAGCATCCACAAATATGGATATGTCAAGCCAGACCATTGCAGAAGTGGGTAGTTGCTTAAGCAACCAATAAAACAGATTTCCCAAACAACCATTGTGATGTGTACCTAATGATGGCACCATGACAAGTGTAACATGAGGGTTACCTAAACATACCAAGCAACCAGCATCGGCTAAACATGGACTCGCTTAGACCCATGAGATCGGGTAAGGGGGTTCTGTCCATGGGGTATACTCCAAAGACTGCAATGCTGATAGAGATGAAGATGAAGATGAAGATGAACATGAAGAAGAAGATGATGATGATGATGGTGATGATGATGATGATGGCGATGGTGATGGTGATGATGCTGATGATGGTGATGGTGATGATGGTGATGGCGATGATGATGATGATGATGATGATGATGATGATGATGATGATGATGATGATGATGATGATGATGATGATGATGATGATGACGGTGATGATGGTGATGATGGTGATGATGGTGATGGTGATGGTGATGATTAAGCATCATTTTTGGGGGGCGTGCTTGATTTTAAAACATGTTCAAACCCAAATCGTAACACTTCAGTTGGAACTAAGACCCAGTAGCCTATAGGAAATCGACTCAAATGCCACCACAGTCCCGCTGAGACTTGGAACAGCTCATGAGATTTCGCAGCAATTCACCATGGTGATATTAAATATATATATATATATATGTATTATTAACAATGATTGGGAGCCCCTGATGCCGATACCAGCTGATACCTTGTGGCTTACCACACAAATTCTATCCAGTTCCCCCTCAGTGTTAGACTTGTTCATCATCTTTCATCTACCATCATCCAAATATAGACCCTGCCAGTTGAAGATGAGTTGCTCAAAAAATGGGCAATGTTCAGAGGGAGTAACTCTGTAAAAATTGAGGGACCATTGGCCATATATGGGACCATCATCCAGCAATCTTTCAATATCTTTCATGCCAAGTGGCTTGATGGCATCGTCATGCCCAACTCCCACCTTCCAGTCCCCTGCGAAGTGGATCCTGGGCGGGTCCGGTCGAGAGTGTCCTGGTGATCCAGTCGATCGACGTCACAAATGTGCTTCGACTCAAAACACCGAACAGGGCATACGGCATACTTGAAACTTTATTCACTATATATCATATATCATCATATATCATACACATATATCAAAGATCATATATAATATATCATATTATATTAGAATATATATATATATTATGTACTGTAGTGTATTATCGTTCATGGTGACTCCGAGCCCAACAAACATCCAGCATGACCGCTTTATCTGCTCGGCTCAGATCTTCTCCGATCCAAGCGGCCCAGCGGAAGAGTCAAACATCGGCACAAATCTTCTGGCCACGGCCAATTCCCAGAGGGAGAAGAAATGATGTGACCAGGCATATTGCGTCTTCACCTGCGAAAAAAAATAAAATCTCCAACTATAGATGGTACTAACATACGTACTAACCATATTAATACCTATTTACACAACACTTATAGTTATTATGATATTTACGTATGTGTACATTTATCATTTTTATATACAACATCATACACATATGTATATAGATTCATATACATAAATAATTGTAAGTGTAGCACATATACAGTATATCAATGTATATCAATATAATATATATAGTATATATATATATATATATGCGTGTACGTATACATATACATGGGTCACAACTCATAGCCATGTTTCAATCCCCAGGGGAAATAACCATCCATAGATCCCAGCTATAGGGTAGGCACCAGGGTTTTGACCCATCAACAAGTGGGAATGGCCCCAATATATGGAATCATTAATGAATAACCCGCAAAGACAAGGGTACCACTATCTACCAATCTTGAATCTATGGCAATGTTGGGCTTATCAAGTAGAATGATACCCATGATACCAGTACTCTGCAAAAAAAATAAGATGCTTAGCTGGTTAGTGTGAAAGTAGTACTTGTAGGGGTATTGATCCATAGCCATAACAATGTTTGTGAAAGTCAGCGTCACACCGCGCGACCGTGCCACTGTGCCAAAAAGGTAACCACAACCCGTGCGACCTTCTCTGGGTTGATGACGTTCTGATCAGAATGAACGGTAAGAAGAAGTTCACTATCGTGGTCACCGAAAATTTGGCCAATCTTGCCTGCCGACGAAGGTCAATGACTGGATTATATAGTTTATGTTGCTCTATGTTTTTGTTTTTTTCAGGAAACCCCTTTTTCTTTTGGTCAATCAAATATAATCAAATAATATATCGGAGCAAACCTCGTCACATAGTGAATTGGTCAGCGAGTGAGAAAGCGTCTTAAGTACTGGGATGGTCGCTGAATTTTGACTGGTCTTGATTGGGACATATCGCAGTTGCCAGACTCCATATCTGCAGATGCTCATCTGTCAGGTGGCTGCAGGTGTTTGCTGTTAAGCAAAACACATATCTAGGTACCCTCTAGTTCTCAAACATGGCAATGGAAGATCCCCTAAATGGAGGATTTTCAATTGCCACATTGACGGAATCTGCAAAAATCTGGGATGTCTCAAAAGCCTGGTTTCCCCTCAGACTCTGAAAGAAACCATGTTGGCAGATAGGAAAATTCAGCATCCAACACCTTGCTCCACGTCCCATTTCCATCCCCTGATCAGTTCATCAGGTTTTTTCCTAATAAAGGTTGCATTTGTTGGGTTTTTTCTACCCATTTCTGGATATTGAAGCATGATCTCCCATGATATCCTGTGTGGATTATTCGGGCCCCACCAGAGTCCCACCTGTCATTGTGGATTCATCCACAAAATATAAGACCGAGGAATTCCTCAGTTGAAAGAATCAAACCAATCTAAAATATATGGGATCTGGGATAACCATTGGATAATAATTGGATAATCATTGGATAATCTGAGTATATCTTGTTAATAGTTGCATAATCTAAAATCATATCAGCCTAATTCACCAGCCTGCAATGTTTGCTGAGGAAACTCTTGGGGATGATTGCTCGTTGATCCTCATTGACTCAGGAATTTGGATGGCCGTCTTGGGAGATGACTGTCAACTGTAGGATGCGACCTTAGTCAATTCAATCTCCGCACTATGGTAATGCCAACTGGCAAAGTTGCAAAAGCTGATTTTCATGTTATCTCCCTCTTGGCTTTGCTGGCGACTGTTGCAATCTAACATTGCTTTATTGTGCCATATCATATCATATAACTATATACAGTAATCTCAATCCACATGGATTTCGGATCCTTATGTTATCAGTCTTGGCTGAGGGAAGCCCAAATTGACCTGAATTGCAATTGCTGGAAATCTGCATTTCTGCAGATCATACTGAGCCTTTATCCCATGATATCCCAATATATATATATACACAATACTTTGTTAGACGTACATTATTGGACAACACCATATTTCTGCCAGCCGTTGACCAACAAGACTTTGGACCGGTCAAGTTTCTGCGCAGGTGCAAAGTGTGGTTGTGCGACCTGAAATCACGGATGCAGCCACGGCACGTCTTGGGCGGATTTTACAGTGGGGATAATATTAGGCAATGAGTGATCATCATTCCGAATAGGAATGGAAGAGATCATTCCGAATAGGAATGGAAGAGATCATTCCGAATAGGAATGGAAGAGACTGACATGTTAAAAACTACCAACCGCACAGATGTATTTGATCTGGCAACTGTTCTACGCCCTGCAGCCGCCCAGCAGCTGAAAGAGGAACTACTAAAAATTAAGGAAGTGGAAAACGTAAACATCATCTTGCCCAAACCACGCACCAGCCCAATTGCTTGTTTTGAGTGGGATATAGCCCCATATTTTGGGCCGGCTATGCCCTCATGATGCACTACTTGTATCTACTTCTCACATTGTTGCAGGGAATTGGTATGTTGTATGCTGCACTTAAAACATCTACAATTGTGCATTGTCCACCCCAACCCCCAACTCCCTTTGCGAAAAACCAAGTCGCAGTGGCTTCTGCGTCGGTGTGTAATGTCCTTGACAGGGCATTGGAAGCCAATTGTATCGTAGGAAAATATAGAGATTAAACCAATGAAGAATGGGAAACGGTGGTGCAAACTAGGAATACAGAATACCCTCTGGTATCTAATTTGCTTAACATTTATGATTCACCTACGCAAAAAAAAACTCTGCATAGCGATGCTAAATTACGAGAGGGTCAATTGTAAGTAGACCAGTCAGTGTGCTAATTTGTCACAATTAGAAAATACTTAATAACCCACTATCTGCATCCCAGTGACTACTAATAACCCATTACATCTAAGGTACATATATATATATATGTATACAGTATATAAATTATATAAATTATATAAAACTACGTATATATAACCCAGATATGTCTGGGTTAAAAAATGCTTACTACGTGTATCCACGTACTGACTCGGGGGGGCATCCAAACAGATTGCCTTTAAAAAAAGACCTATCACGTCCTATCACCAAACAACTTTGCAACGCCAATTCTACATCAGTCGGTTTAACTTGCAAATCATCCTCTGATAGATTTACTGGTTGGCTATTGACTTTCATAGGCGTCTCTTTGTACTGGATAAATATATATATAGTAACAATCCATGCGTCCGTAAAGAAAACTGGTTTAAACAACCACTGTGGACCGCCAAGGGACAAAAAGGTTGTGACATAGTCAATCTGACCCAACACCTGAACCCATCAAGGCAGTTGTGTTCATGTGATACTGAAAGGGTTGGAATTCGTATGATTTCATGGGAAAGGTTGGGACATGACAGTGAAGGGCTCAGGAAATCTGTTTCATCCATTTTTGAATCCGGCAGGGAGACATACGAACAACAAAAGGACAACTTGAAAATACGTGAAGAAGTTCAAGGAGCGCAAACAACACATTAAACAAATGAAAACATCGCAAAACAAAGAACCAAGAAGCAAGACAGAAAGAAGAGACAACAAAACAAACATCAAACTTCCAGAAGTTGCATGCAAGATCACGCTTAGGTGATCTTGAGTCGGACTCTCGGCACCACCTAAAGCCTTTTACTGAAGATGTTTCAAAAAAAAAAGGCCCCTAAAGTCACACCCAATATTCTCGCAGAAGATCTTGGATAGAACACCCATCTGAATTTGGCGAAGCATGGTTGTGTATTGCAAATCCTGTTGTTCTCATTTGCGGTCAGCAGTCTTGCCACAGATGAAAAGGAATTGAACTGAATGATTTAGAATGGAACCACTGTGTTATTTCGTTTGTTTTTCTCTGCAAAATTGACACAACCATTCCAGGAATTGAGTGATCAGTCACCCTCTACTCAGTAGCCCAGGGTTCCTCACTGGCAATGGAAAAGGTGTTGCGATCTATAATTTCAATGTTTTTTATCTGTTCCAAACGATGCACAAAATTATACTGCCAAACAGCTCAATTTGCCCAAGGCACTTTTAAACACTCCAACTAGCAGGTCATTTTGGCATTCATGAAAAGCTTAGGTAGGGGACCTGTGCGTCATTGCAAAAGTCATCCTGAACCCTGACACCCTAATTTCCAAAAGCTTAAACCCCACAAACTATTGAGAAATCGAAGTAACTTCACAGCCGAAACACCTAAACACTAAACCACTAAACCCTAATTTTTAAAAGCTAAAACCTTAGAAAACTCAAAGTGATGCTAGGCGAAATGAGGTGTCTGGGCGCAGTGGTAGCATGAGAGTCACATCGCCTTCAGCTGACAGCTTGCTGGCCGAGGAACCAGCTTTTTCCAAGGATTGTTCACGATCTTGGAACACTCAGATGCTGGGATCCTGATCAAAATGCAAAAGAATCACAACTCTCATCAGCTTTCAGAGTTGCAATCAAGGCAATCAGACTTTGCTTGCTGAAGCAACTGGATCTATCTGCAGGATCCATTGAAACAAGGCCTGTCCATCGTGGTTTTATCTTTGTGCGTTTGTTTCATGGTCCATGTTCCCTTGTTTCGAGCCCAAGAATCCACTAGCTCGTGGATCTCTTAAGAAGATAATCTCTCTTAGAAACTACAGTGAATCTAGTTATACATACATATATTATGTTTACATCCTTGTGCCCTGTCAAACAAACATAATAACCCCACTTGGTGTGCCGTGGATGACATCAGGAAACATGTCCATGTCACTATCTACCCAGTTTTTGCCCTCCAGTTGGCCACTGAAAAATGATCCATCGGGCTCCCAATGGATGAAAAAATGATGCCGCCAAGTGGCGCCAGGATGATATCCTCGTAGCCCGACACGGTCCTAACCGGTGAAACAAGGACTTTTTTGGGGCAGATTTCAGCAAACCATGGGTGATATAGTGGGATAATGTGAGATATTGTGGGGCTATATTTTGTGCTAATTCCATGAATTCTATTGAATTCTATCAATCAGAAACAAGCATAAACCATCGCCGATGACTTAGAGGAAATGGCTTGGAGTTTATATTGGGTTTGCCAAATTTGTCAAGTGGGACCCAATCATCCCAAATAGATGCAACAATAAGAAACAACTGACTTTTTTTGCAACCAGTGAGTAGGTACTTTGATGCCTTCAAAACAATCATATGTATGCACGATGAAACATGCGGTGCATGGCCAAAAAATAATTCTGATCCCTTCATCAATTCCCAGAGGCTGATCCCGGTGAAAAGACCATGCATGTCATGGCTGTAGCTCGTTGAAGTATGTTCAGTGTGAGGGTCCCCTGTCGTTGTCAAACATGTCTGTGTGGTTACGTTGTCATATTGAAAATTCCATGATGTTTCATGAGTTTTCCATGTTTATCTCGTGAAGGGTACACATTTCCCACCTATGTTGCTGGTAGTTACTGTCTCTCAGCAACCATGCACGCCTTTTTGCAGAGCTGGGAGGCAGCGAACGCGTAGGTTCGGCACTGAAATGCCTATCCGTAACACGGTGAGGACCATGACGAATGGACCTGAAAACACCATCCATGGATGGAATTTCAAATGGATCTTGGATCTTGGATTTTAACAACATCTGATTGGTGGTTTCAATCCCCCCTTTAAAGAAGGAAGGTAGTTAGGGATCATCATTCCAAGTGGACGTGAAAATTCAGGACTATTTAAAACCACCAACCAGACATGTATGAGACACGCCCAGGCTGATTCTTTGATCACAAAAGCCGTGCCCATTCTCTAAATCAGCTGTCACCTGCTTCCTTTCTCTGTACCCGGGGACACGGAGACAATGGAAATGGTAGCCACTGAGGTTCTGGAAAGGCTTCCCCCGGCTCCAATGGCTGCCACCATTTGCTTCCCCAATCCACCAAGAGGCCCTGGGAGTGTCGGGACTTGGACGTTCATCCCAGAAAGAAAGGACCAAAAATCCTGGGGAACGACCGTGCAGTACCGACTTCTTCACTGCACCCGCTACATCCTGCTGCCATTGGACAAACGATAAAAATTGTGTTTCACGGGAAAAGAGGACAACAAGTCAACATGTTTATCTCACATCCCATTGCGGCATGTTTGAAAGCCATTGACCGTTAACTATGGCCATGCTTATTGAAGCTTGATCGGTTCACGAAAAATATGTGGTCCCCAAATACCTTTCCCATCCTTTCCCCATGTTGAAAGTGTGAATAGAGATGACTAAGCCAACAATTTGTTGTATCCGCTTGGAGACTTCTATATCTTCTATTTGCAAATGCTTAGGATCCCTATGCTTACAAAACTGATTTGTGATCCTCCTTTAAAATCCTGGACCCCAAAAAATGGCCAAACACCATCTGCTTTGAAAGCAGAAAACAAATGATGCCACTGGCTGACATGAGATCAAAACACGTGTGTTTATGTATATACATATATAATTATCATTATTATTATTATCATTATTATTATTATCATTATTATTATCATTACTAGTGTTGTTATTTATATATATATATATATATTCATGCACATAGTGTTATATTGCATGTCATTTGTGATGTTCTGCAATGTCCCCTCTAAGACTCTACTGCTCTGACACAGAGTCCGGGGACGCAGAACCCAACAAGACTCGCCAAATCGACAACTCCCAAACATATTTTTACTAGAAAATAATCTTCCAAAATCTTCCGGTGCTGTAAAAAATGCTTCATCCACTTCATCCCTAAAAATCTCATCCCATCCGAGGGCCTCTGTTCCGTGAAGCTCCACCCGGAGAGTGGCCTTGCACCAGTTCGCCGCTCCGCCCTTTGGGACGTCCCGGGCCGCCACGTGGCTGCCACAGCCGAAGACGTACATCCGCAGCCTGGACTCCGCCGGGGTCACGCCCAGGAGGTCCAAGACTTCTTCGCAGACCGAGGTGGCCCGCTCCAAGGTGAAAGTCAACCTACAACCGATTGGGCCCCAAATGGCCCCAACTTTGGGGGATCAAACATGGGTCATTAAATGTCCCCATTGAACATCACCCAACCATTAGGTATATGGTCTATAATGGCTACTATAAGGTGATGTCCAATATACCCCAAATGGGACAGTTACCAACCCCTGTCAAAGGCCGTAAGTTTTAGGGGTTGCCAACTGGTGGGGGGCCACGGCTACATGGCTACGATGATACGATGAACATCATGTGGGTAAACTCTTGTACCCGTAGATTGCCATAGATCCTTGGTTCCTCTTAACCACCAAATAGCCAAAAATATCCAAAAATAGTGTTCATGACTTTAGTGGAGTGGGGTCCAACTCACAGTTTAGGGATGGATGGTCAGACAGAACCATGAAAACGAATCCTCACCTGGGGTCGTTGTCCCACTTCTATTCATTGCTAAGCATGGAAAAAAACATTTTTTTTTCAAGTGATCCCCACCCTGACATACTATCCTGGCATAGTTTCTGACATACCATTTGGAAGTATATATACATGGCATATATTTTGACATTCTATCTGACATTCCTTCTGCCCAGCTCCGGAGATCGTGGTGAAGCGTTCAAATCTAGAGACCCTCGGCAGGTGGGGAAGAAACCTATTTAAAAACAAAAAAACACTTTTTTTCTAGTGATGAACATAGATATGTGTGTGTGCTTTGGTTAGGTTCCATGAAAAATCCCATGAAATATGTTCATTACTGCTGGTTTATTTGCATTATTCACCAACAGTGCAAAAAAAGTACAGTAAAATCACCCAGCCACTTGATGAACTCCGGTGCATTGCGGCCGCAATGGCCCGACACAAACAGCACCAGGTCACGAGAAAATCTCCTGCAGATTTTCGCCAGCTGCCTGAGATCTTCGGCGGAATCCTCGTGAAGCGAGGTGCTGGCGCGTTCGAAATAGACCTCCAAGGGCGACTTGGGTGGAATTCTCCCAGTGGGTTGGTTCACTCCAATTTTAAATCGACTTGCACTACTTCACAACTGTTTTTTTTTCAGATAGCTACTATAAGTATCTATAATTGCAAGGTGGTGCACCCCAGTTTGTTGCATTGGAATCCTCATTTCCTATAGATGCCTTTCTCATAGATCATGGTTAGCCACATGGAGTTCATTGCTGAGTACATGGGGTTGCAAGCCCGTGTTTCCAAACCTAGCAATGGCAACCCATTTACGACCCAGTTAACAAACTTCATGACCCACCTAAGTAGGAGAGCTAAGCAGGAAAAAAAACAGTTGTTCACCAAGAAACAACGTTAGGGTTCATCTATGTAATTCATATGTATGATGGGTAAGTGTTGGTTTATGACTAGGCTCAGGGGATTTATAATGCATAGTAATATATTTAGATATACATCTACAGCTGGATGGGCTTGTAAACCAAACCATGTTGGATAGAGGGGATCATATTGTAAACCAAATCATATCGGATAATAATCATGGGAATATAGTAGGAAGTCGTGGCATTATAATGTATATAAATGATATAAACCTTATCAAACTAAATATATTTTTTTTCCACGTTGCCCACAGCTGCTGCACCTCATAGGTGTCTTATATTCGGCCAAAAATGGCGCAGCATAGAGCTATGCCGTTCTGACCGTATCATTAGAAATGAGGAGTCTAAGGCTGGCACAACAATTGGTCGAAACTTCAGAGTAAAAAGGTTTACATAAAGGATCACAAAGAGGAAAACAACCGAACAGTCAGCAAAAACACCAACAATAAAATGTCACCATAATGCCTTAGCGAACCTCAAGGTGTTGGATGCTTTCAGCCCTCGAGGTATTATATATATATATATATACACAATAAGTATTCTAGATTTATAACCCCGGAATCCCTCTAGGAAGCCAAATTCAGGATTGATTTTTTATGATTTTAATATGGTTTTGATATGATTTGAAAATATGATTTTGATACGCTTTGAATTTGGGGTTATGATTTTGATATGGTTTTGTTATAATTATTTTTGACATGGTTTGGCTTATGGATTGGATATGCTTTTGATATGGTTTGGGAACGGAGTGCCTTTTTCAGGGTTCCCAATCGGTTGGTTTCAAGAAAGGAAACCGAAACAGCCCGGGGACAGGCTTTTGGTTGATTTCTCGAGGGTTTTTTCTGGTTTTGATATGAGTTTGCTATTGTTTTTATACGGTTTTGATACGATTGTGAAGGTTAACTTGTGCTTTCCATTGCTTTCCCAAGTTGAGCCTAAACAATTGAGGAATTCGCATTTCCTCAACTGCAAGCTAATCAGGTGCAAAGGAGACCACATGCGCAAATGAAACATTTCCTAACTTGCATGGACATAGCATCCAAAATCCCATCAAAATCACAATTTTGACCCACATCAGGAATCATGACTGAAATCATATCAAAACCCAAACCGTATCAAAATCATAACTGCAAAACCAGGCCAGAAACCATCAGAAACTAATCATAACAACAAATCATATCTAAGTCATATCAAAATTAAAATTGAAAAAAAAAATGAAAAACCTCCATCCTAGAGACTTCGGATGTTATAATTATAGATAACTTGCTTCTCCATGACACATGGATCATTGTATGGACCAATGGACCCAAACAGCAGGGAGCAGGGATTTCAAGGAACCATGCGGGGGTGTCTAAATGTGAAACCACCTCATTTTCCTGGGGAAAATGATAATCAATAAGCAACTGAATTTTGGGCTACACCGCTAGGCTATTTTCAGAGCCGTGGAGCCTTCACTACGTATCTTCAGACAAACCCTTCCAATGGGCTATGCAAAGTATTTGGAGGTGTCCTAAGTCATGGGGGCACCCCCAAATCATCCATTGAAATAGGATTACCCTCTGGTAATTTAACATAATTATCTATTGAAAATGCCATGGATAGTTGATTTACCCACTAAAAATATCTAAAAATGGTGATTTTCAACAGCTATGTTAGTTTACCAGAGGGTATAAACCATTATATCCCATATAAATCCCATATAAATCCCCTATTGGAGATTATTGGGGTCCCATGGAAATCCTCCGACCTCCGGCCGCAAGGTCCGCAGCTCCTCTGCCAACGCCAGGCTTTGCAGTGACCGGCGCAGCACGCAGCTCTGCACGCCCCGCTGTGTCGCCAGCAGCGTCAGAAAGGCATCGTTTCGAAGCAGTCCATGGACGGTGCAACTCGCAAGCTCCAGAGACGTCAAAGTTTCCTTGTGCCGCTTGCAGAACTTTTTTGTGGAAACTGGTTATGGCTATGTGCGATGCTAAAGCAACCCCAACACAAATGAAATCAAATGAAGTAAGATTTAAAAATGAACACCAAATGATGTACATATAATATATATATATATACATATGCGATAATATAGTATATGTTTAACTTCAATGTATGGCGGACAAAATTATCTACTACTCGTCATGAAGATTTCAACACAAATTCGAACATCCCGAGTCCACTTCCTATTACTTTAGTCTTTAGTCTTTAGCTAAGTTTGTCGCTTACTCATATACTTACAGTGTACAGTCTACTGCATTGCAGTGTTTTGCCAAGCAAAACACTCCAAGTCTCCCATTCCAACCACTGTGCTACCTCCTGGAGGCTCCCCTCCAAAGCGCCGGGCTGAAGCCCGCGCACGGTGTAATCTGTGATCCCCGGGGCTTCGGCCCGGCGACGTTGACACACCAGGTTCAGCAACGACCACATGGCGCGAAGGCGAGAAAGTGCTTGAAAGCCCAGCTATGTACATATATATATATATATATATATTATAATTATATAATATATAATATAATATATATATATATATATGTACACAGTGTACACAGCATTCATGTTCTTTGATTGCTCCAATTTGAAGTTTGACACGGAAAAATCTGTGAATCTGGAGAATATTGTGGAAATTGAACGTGATCTCCATCGAATTTTTGTGGAGAGGCTGAGAATGCAGGCAAATATCACCAAGAAGAATAACAAAAGTTAGCAAATATTAGCTACGATACATAGTGATGAATACAAAAAAGCGTGGGTGGAACAGGTATCTTGCCAAACAATTGCATTGTTGAACTCAACTTAGAATCTCTGTAATCGGTTAGTCTGTGGAGCTCAACAAAATGGCACATGTCCAATTTGGAGGGTCTAAACGTGACGGTCACTTCTAAAAATCTCCATTGTGGTGAATAAACATGCTTCGTTTACAAATCCATAATTTGGGACGCACCCAGTTCTGTATGTCTATATTACATGATATTACATGTATGGATTCTCACCCACTCATATCGGGCCCTGCTTTATCATCGCTCATGTTTCCAGCGTGGTGCTGAACAGCTGAGGTGGCAAACTGGGAACATCATCGGATTCCATGGGACTCAATCGGAGTATCACTGGATCGTTTTTTTTTGGTCAAAACCATGTATTTGTGCATGTCACCAATAAAAAGAAGCGGATTTTGTAGATCTTTCCGAAAATTCCCTCACCTTCCCGGTGGTGGTAAACTCACCTTCCCGTGGAAAAAAATATGGCGTTTTTGTTGGGAGATGAACTTGTCATAGCATCTGGTGGTTTCAACCAATTCAAAAACATTGAGTAATATAAATCATCAGATTTACCATAATGAATGCTAGTCAAGCAATTATGATTTTCTATGACTTTAATATATTCCAAGTATTAAAATAGTTCATGTTGGTAAAGCAATAATAAACATTAATCTCCAGATTTACCATCAATGGAAGGTATTTTATACCATTCCGAGTGGTTTTTCAATGATCCTCGGGAAAAATCATCCATGACCCCGTCCCAGCGAGCCAGAACAGAAGTCGTCTCTCGGGGATGTTCCAGCTAGCCATGCGGCGAGTTGGCGGGAGGCTAACCATATCATATCACTCATAGCTTTGGCATATAACTATCCCATCATTAGTGATATGGCATATAACTAATAGTTTTGGCATAACTATCCCATTTTTGGCATATAACTATCCCATATAACTATCCCAGCCATCAATACCCCCACTAAAATATTCCAGTAAATCCATCCGAAATATATTTTTTTAGCATAAACCACCATTGACAACCATTCCCAGAGGCTATAAATCCATGTTTTTCCACAGAAGATGCCAATATTCCATAAATAATCCATGAATAACCCATGAATATTCCATTCTATCCACAAAACATCGGCTGGATCTTTCAATCCACTCTCCTGCCGTCATTGAGCAGCAGATCCCAGCCACCACGCCATTGCAGGCTTTCCACCTCCGGGCAAATGTTACACGAGAGGATTCAAAAAGGCAACGCATGTCTACACATGTCTATGTGTATATATATATACACACAATATATATATATATGTATACAATATATATATATATATTGTGTATATATATATACACATATTGTATATACGTATACAATACATATATATATATACATATATATATATATACGGTAACTACATTTAAATATACAGATTTTTAAATATACGAACAGGTAATTTAGACTACCTCCGGGAAGGTTTTCCTTGGCCCGCCCAGCCATTTAATCATACGGAATCCAATTAATTTAAACATACTGCAACTACATTTAAATATACAAACTGGTATTTCATACTACCTGCGGGGCCTTGCGGTCTGGCCCGCCCTCCACATATAAATGTCGTTACCGTATATACAATATATCATATCTACAATATACACGTACGTAATATATGCTTTACATTGCTTTGCGACAATGCATGCTGGATGTTAATAAGAAAGATTTGACCAGCTGGGGTACTTAACCAGGAAAAGCTGGATTCGACAAAAAATGATGGGGTCAACAACAATGGGTATCGAGACAATAGAAATGAATCAACATTCATTTGAAACAGTCAAAATGAGATGGTGGGGCAAATCATGATAAACATCACAAAAAAAGATAAAGCACTTAATTCAAATACAGTATCTACCACAGAAAAGTCATCTTTGTCCTGGGCCTCGCCAGGACATCAGTGTTGGAGCCCTCAATAGGGGGGGGCTATGTATCTATTTGGAAGTTCCATAAATGTGGGTCCCCCCAAATGGTTGGTTTATTGTGGTATGGAAAATCCCATTAAAATGGATGATGACTGGAGGTACCCCCATTTCAGGAAACCACCATTCGGGATGATGTAGAAAAAATACCCTGCATTGTTGGCATCACCAACTTCTGCTGTCTGAGAATGATCATGAGCAATGATGAAAACATGGAAACCCTTGCCTTACAGTACATCATACCAAGCAAGTAAGTCCTCTACTGAATGGCCATCTAAAAACTCTCCCTGTGCCTTGCTGTTCAATCGGATGTCCAATAAACCTGCTCGATGGCACCCGAAAAGTGGAGCGGAAACTTGGCCCATGGGCTGTACATCTGTACCCCATATTTCTGGCATCGCTTATTCGGCTTTTCTGGTCATAATTTCAGCATGGACCCATCCAATCCCATAGCCTGTGAGTGTCCCCCCCACGAGCGTTGACGCCCCTTTGAACCAAAGGGATGAAAGATGATGAATGTACATCAATAGCCCTGTCTGGTGCCGGTGAGACCCCTAAAAAGATAAAATAAAATGCAGGGGCCTAAGGACAAAATGCCAATAAAATGAGAGGGCATAAGGTAAGATAGCAAAACCAAAGCAAAATACAATGGACAGGTACAAAAAGAATATGACGTCAGGCCCCCTCCACCTGGGGCAACTGTTGGACGTCAGGCCCCGGCATTTTCTTTTGGGTTGATCTTGTTTAGTCTTGTTTCTTTATTTGATTGGTTTTAACCATCTTTGGAGGAAAACCCCCAAAATGGCAAGACCCTAACCTCCAACATATCCCAGCATCTGCGAAGTAAATGTCATCTTTTGTCACGTGCCAACAGGAAGGAAAAATCGTGCGGATTTCAACCAATATATATATATAATTATATAATTGGTTCCAATTCTGACATCTGGATGGTTTCTAGAAAACATATAAATAAACTGAAGAAATCTCATTGGCTGCTGTGAGCTGCCTGTGTGTCTCTTCTTGTCCAAGGGAGGCAATAGAAAATGAGGGGGGCCAACCCATTTTCGAAGTTAATGTCCAAGTGATTCCAAATCTCTGGAACGTTTCACAAAATGATCAGACCGTTCACAGCTGTGCATCTTTGCTATCATGCTATCTCTGTCAGTTAACTTGATGGGTTAGGCACCTCAAAAAATAAAATGCACCCACAAAATAAAATGCTGGGGTCTGACCCATTTTATTTTTTTATTTTTTATTTTTAAAGGGGCTTCTGCCACCTCATTCTATTTAGGCACACCAATCGGAGGTCATCAATATTGGACCATTGTCATTTGAGCCCAAGACACGCTGGTATATGATATGGGTTCATGCAGATTTTTGCCCATCAAACCAGGTACAAATCAATTCTAACCATCAGCCACCCATCATGGATTTTATTCCCATTGTTAAATCTTGATGTCGTTGATTATTGTCTATGATTGTCTTAATTTTGTGGTAAACATCCTAGATATATTATAATGAATACATATGTCTAGCGCGTGTCATATCACTCATGAGTCCATCATCATATATCATATGAAACCTAATACATCTTCTTGTTTCATAAATCATTATATCTGGATAACATTGAACAAACTACACAATAACTCACCAACCTTACCCATATGCTCCATGTATGGAATATTTACCATGTTGGTAAATATTCCATGGATCATATCGGTTACATGTTCGGCCTGTGGAGTTGGCATCTGCAATGATATCACGCCACAGGAATTGGCTGCCCTGGTCGCCACTGGCCGCATTTGGGGCTATGAAAATGGCTATAGTCCTGGTATAACCATGGTTAAACTCATTGTCATAATATAGGCTCCATTAGATGGGATTGAACGCCAATAACTGTAGCATACTGTAGCATACAATATCTTACCCACTTGTAAAGTAAACCTGCACCCCATAAGTGCAGCAATTTAACTAGCAAACGTGTGGAATTAAGCAACTAACACGGAGGTGCATGTTGTGATATGTTTGAAATACAGTATACTGTATATGTTGTTTTCCTCAGATGTCTGTAGGAAGTTGTGTCTTATTTGTTCACACACAATATATCTGAATATAAGGTCCAAACATATATGTGTTGGATGTTTGTAATGTTTGATGTCAAATCAAACGATTTTTTCCCTCCCTTTCTGGTGTTTATTTTGGACGCTTGGAATGTTTGGGGAGAAAAACACCAAATACAATGGCTGAGTGGGACGCAAATTCAACCATTACAAGGGGCGAACTTCCCATCGCGATGGGTTTACCATGGAACGATATACCATATCGCTATTAGGGCTCCTAAAGGGATCAAATTCCCCACACATGGAAGAATCAACTATACTATACCACGATTGAATTGAGAGGGAAAAACACAGCTGATTCCCGAAAAGAAGATCAGCCTTCTTCTTTTCGGGGAATGACATGTCTTACCATCCAAACTAGAGCACGTTACCAAACGTTAAAGATAGGCAGTGAAAACCTCATCCCACAAATATATCATGAATGACATCACGAAGACAGCAATCACTTCAGACTTCAGACATCATAGCCATAGCGTGATTTCACGGACATCCGGGTTTCGTCACAAAAAAAATCATCGAGATTCATTGCAACTCAGCATCCATCTGATCCATTCATCGAAAAAAAATCCCAGTCCGACGGCCTTGATGTTGTTCTGCACCAAGGCTTTTTGATATCTCATATGTGAAAAACCCACGTCCGGCCTGGCTTTTGCTGAAAAATCCCATTGGATAAATTGGAGGGTTCTCCAAAAACCATGGGAAGCCCATTGCTTCCTGTGGAGAACCCAATAAATTTTCTGTAGAAATGTGTGTTTTTGAGTCACCAAATAGCTCCAAACACTTCCGGTCATGAATATCCCCCACAAAACAATGTTCATCCTTTGAGATACTCGCTCGGAAATCGGGACTTCGACCGTCCGACCCAAATCATGAGTTAAGCAATTCATCCCCATAATTAGCCATCCCCAATTACGGTTTGGGACATTGTCTATACCCCTAAAACATGGGATAATCCTTCCAATATTGTTGGTCAGATTCATCCCAGAGATGGAGCCATCTTAGTTGTCATCATATGTCAATCCTTTTGTATAAAATGCAACAGAAAACCTCCAATATTTATACTCATTATATAATCTTGATTTGTAGCTATTTTCTGATTTTCTGGGCTTGTTACACCCCAGCTACATTGCTGTTGAGACATGCTGGTAGTCCATCCATGGCGTCGCTGCAGCTTGGTAACCCAGAAAAAGACGGGCCTGAAATAGTTCAATGTTGCTTGAGCGGACTGTCGGGCTGCACCCATCTTCGTCACCTGTGATGGGACTGTACTTGGGGGACTGCAATGACCAAATACCCAGCGGATCATCTGAACAGTGGGATCGACCGTTGCAGGTATTGTTGCAGGCGCTGTTTTGTGAGTCGTGGATGATCATCCGCCCCTTTCAATCTAAAGTAAATAGATTCAGTACCACTGCCAGGTGCCATATGTCATGGTCAATCCCACATCTTGAATTTCCCGTGCCCAGGCACGAAAAGCACAGAGATGATGGAAGTCAAACAAAGCCTGTCGCTCAAAAGGACAAGATGGTGTGTTTAAATAATGCCTGAGGTGGGTATAAATCATAACTGTTTAGTATATATTTACAGTCAGCCTGAAGTAGATAAAATATGGAATGTTCAATGATGTTCCAATTTTAAGTAATGGTTTCCAGGAAAAATCCATATTCTATTCCAGGGTGACATTATTAATGAACATGTTTACAATTTTACAAAAATGTACTCTCTCCCTCTACATATACAATATATATATATATATTATATGTATCCTATATCATTCTATATCTACATATACATATTATATATATACTATACATCTATATCTACATATACAATATTATATATATACAATATTTCATATTTCTATGTCAACGATATCTTGTATCAACCTGGTCCATCCCTGGAAGTTACATACTCGCTAGCATGGACCACTGCGGGATCCTGCAGCTCAAAAATGACGTGTTGAAGGATAAAACACACAAAACTATGAGTCAATGACACTATATGTTAGATACATGTATCATAGGTAATATATATATAAAATATAATATGGTAATATAACTTGATGATATTTAAAAACAAATATATTTATAATTCGCCCAAGAATCTTGAATTCATGATATAGTGGGATCATGACCCCCAGGATGCGCAAGAGATGTAGAAGGAATCCCATTCATGTGAGATGACCATATCCCAATATATCCCATATACATCCATCCAATATACATCACAATATATCATCACTATATCATGATATATATATATCATCCAGTATATCATCACTATATATATATATATATGGCCAATATATCCCATGATATATCCCAATATACATCACTATCATCCATATATATATATATATATATCATTATATCTATGTTTTGGCCATGGCACATGGGGTTCTCCGAAAATATTAGAGCAACCTCCAAATCGGTTATACCTTTAAAAATCTTCCCGATTGAAAGTTTCGAGTTTCGGCGGTATACACCATTTTCAGACAGACACATATGTACCCTCTGGTAAACAAACATAGCTATTGAAAATGGCCATTTATAGTTGATTTACCCATTAAAAATGGTAATTTTCCATAGTTATGTTAGTTTACCAGAGGGTAAATCCCCAAGAATCCAAACATCTGCAGGTTGAAGGGTCCAACCGTCCAAGGCCCCTCGGGCCCCTCTTGCTATCAGTCATGGCCACCTCCCATCCCAAGCCTATAGAAGTCATCGGTGAAACCATGCCACCATAAAAAAGCCGCCAAAGGCGTAAGATACCTGCGGCTTTTAGACTGTGATGATGGTCAAATGGGCCCAATAAAAGCGGGAATGTGACCAATCATGATCTTCAAAATACTTGCCATAGAATGCCATATATATATATATCTTTATACGGCATATGGGAGATATAACAAATCCCAAAATGGCAATAGTCTATACGGTATATGTATATATGTATATACACAATTAATCACAATTATATAGTACAGATAACAAATATGCAACTTCAAGCAACGGTCAGCAGTGGTGAAAGACAGGGCCTCTTGCTGCTTTGGAATCGTAGGTTGCCACAGACCCATCGTTCCACATTCGTTCCAACATATGAGTTTGTCCGAGGCATTGGGGTACATATCCGTTCATACCCTCTGGTAATTTAACATAGCCATTGAAAATGACCATTTATAGTGGATTTTCCCATTAAAAATGATGATTTTCCATAGCTATGTTAAATTACCAGAGGGTACATTCCAGTAAATTAGCATGCCAAATGGGGCTTGGAAGATTTGTTTCCACTCAAAACTGGCCATTTGAGCCGGCTCTACACAGCCAAAGACCGCCCACCAAATGGCGACCAAAGACCGCGACCAGGGCGCCTCAAGGTATCTTCTGGTTCATTGACCAATTCCATAAATCGATCTACTTCTCTTTCCAAATCCTAGAGGCACGTTGTGAATCAATCGCTTGGTCTTGTTGGGAAGTTTCATGGAACACCATGGTTGAACAACATGTTTTAACCATCAGAAATGAGGGAGGTTCGCTACAATTTCCATTATCCTACATAATTATCGCATGCGGTTGAAAAAGTAAAATATGCAGAACCTTCAACCAGTGAAGGTTGGGAATCTGCTGGATTTGGCAAGAAAAAAACACCAAATGTAGGCCCGTTAAAATTTATGGGAACACGTTTTGATTGCAAAATGTAGGCACGGTACAGAATTCACAACCTATGATCTACAAGAATCTACAAGAAGGATTCAGGCTAGTTGACCCTCTAATGAACGTGCGCCCAAATGCCACCTTAAAAGAAGCAATTTTCATGTCCAACCCCCTTGTCAGGGCTCCAAAAGTCTGACCGTGTCAGTCCTCACCAAGCACTCCTCGTTCGGAGTGGACGTTGTCCCAGTATCCTTGGCTGTGGAAATTGGTCGGGGAAACTGACCTTGGCTGCCCGTGGGCGATTGGAAAGCTTCTGCAACATGTGACACCATCGTCTCATGGTGGTAGTGATAAGGGTTGCGGTCCTGGACGATAAGAAACACGATCAATACCATCAATACCCTTCACAACTTCTGTGGCAAAGCGTACACCGACATTGTTCCTGGTGAGATCGCACGGTTTCTGTTGCTTCATCCCAGTTTTTGCTGGTTCTTCGCCATGTTTACAGCACAATCTCCATTTTGTAGTTCAATGCCCGCTTTTGTTGGTTCATCTACAATTTTGTTACATCTTTACTTCCCCATCTTCCCCCTTTGTGACTGGCCCTATCCCCATACGAAACGACGCCAATGCCTGCAAGTAAAAAGTCGAAGGCTCTGCCGTTAAATGCGCCCGAGGTGTTAAGGGCGGTGTCATGCAAAGGGTAGTCAAAGTAGGAAGTGAAATTCTTGTACTTGTAGTAATTCACCTCAGAGATGCCCAGTGCATCCCAGTGCTATTTATGTGCTATTGATCTGTGATGCAATGTGTAGAAATTCAGAGAGGCTCCTGAGAGAGTGTTGAACCTTTGGATAATGAGAACAATCACCATTTTTCATAGGTAAATCACCATGTTTTATGGGGAAATCACCATTTTTCATAGGGAAATCCAACATCTTTTTGGTTTGTTGTGCACCAAATACAGAGATTTCGAGATTTCGAGTTGGTGCTGTAAGTTGATGGTCACGTTGGTCACGCAGGTTTCGTAGGGCATTTCTAGGGATGGTCATCCAAAGTTTGTTCAACATCTATGGATGACCATCAGCTAGAAATTTTGGGTATCCAAATCTATGGACTCATCCCCATTTCAGCTGTTTCACCATAGATTTCACATGGACAGTTTCCCCAAAATTGTTGATTTGTGAACATGGACTGGTAGACACATGTGAAAATCAACGAGATGTCCGAATGGAGATTTTTTGGAGGATCCCAAATTTTCATATGGCGAAAGATGATGGTAGCGCACTTCAATGTTTGAAATGGGGCCTTCTGAGGCTTACTATTGGAAGCAAAGTGTGCAGTTCAAGGAACCGGCAAACTGGCATCTGTCCTGTTGGTGAATGAAGCCTTGAGATGTGGCAATGCGAACTTATGATCATATATTTATATATACATAGTGGATCATAGTGGGGTATCTGGGGTATGAATGGACCAAGTCAGTTATTTCAGAATTCTTTTCCATCATACGACCCTTCTATTCTGATCATTCAATGATATTCAATGAGTCAGAGCCAATCTATGAACGCCTCAAAATGCTGTTCCCACTGCCCACACCAAAATCCTCACAACTTGACGAGTGGCATTGTTAAAAATAAAGCCAATGTCAATGGGAAGTTCCCCTGGCTCAGGTGATCTGCCAATTGCTATGGCGGCTATGCCGCCAAACCCGGCAAAAACCAACGAGGCGTTCGTAAGTAAGGAGTTTCCCAATCTTTGGACATATAAATTAAAGATGATAAGTAAAAAGATCCAAACAATGTATATTATTAATACATATTAATACTGTATAAACATAATATATAATATATACATTACTTAAGCTTTTAAAGCCCTAGAATGGTGCTTCCATCCCCAGTGCCACTTGCCTTTCTTAATCAACTCACCACGTGTTTGGTTCCCTCGCGAAGCCTCCGGTCTGACTCTCCCGTACCTTACGTCACCCTGGGATTACAACTCCATATAAGAAGATACATCGTGATTCAATTATTAATATATTAATTATACCAATTTACAAACCCGTTACAATACCACAAAATACCACAAAACAGTTTATAATACGATTTATCATTTTTAGAACCAGGTATGGTAACTCCATCTTGAATTCCATCTATAATTCCAATACATCTCCATATAATTCCTACCAAAATCATCCAAAACCCCCTTCTTAATGGTGAATCCTCGCGATTTTCTCGCAGTCATGTGGTTCGGAAACTCTTACACTAGCTCCATGTCCATGAAAAAAACATGAAAAACAGGGAATAAATATGTCCATAATTCCCTAAAACAGGAGCTAAACATGTGAAAAAAACAGGGATAAATATGGAGACCTCCATAACTCTTAGCTAAATCAATCCCCAGCCGGGTCTCCCACCTTGGTCGGTGGTTTCCACCCAAGTCTTTGCGTGGCCGCCCACGTCATCTGTGGCCTCCAGTAATGTCACCTGGTCAGGTGAGGCGCCAAACATGCTTAAAGAAACTCATTATAACATGCATATCATTATAAAAATACATATATTTACCCATCATATGATGTTTGTACATGTATTTATATACAAGGATACATACATAATCATACATATTATATGTATTGGTTTTAATGTAGACGATATTATTCAATATCATCAAATCAACCTACCTTCCAAAGTCAAAACTGTGAGCCGAATTATGTTTTCTGGGGAATACATCAGGATGAACATAATTTGGGGATTGGTTGGCTTCTCTCAAGGTATTCTCCCACATATATTCCCAAACATATATCCAGTTGATACGATTTCCATGGCGAATCGTAGTATTTTCAAGTACTTGAAGGATCGTTCCACTTAGTTCCACTTATAGACTTATATACATATATATAGTAATTGGTTAGTAACCATCGTTATAACTCATTCTCAGAGGGAATAACCCACGAATCGGCGACTTACGATCAGGCTTATTAACCACTGATAATTCGTGGGAGGATCCTGCAATCTGCAACGTTTCCCCAGGGATTTCCACAGGATTTCCGGCAATTTCTACCAGATCTATCAGTTGAACCATTAAAAATACCTCCATCCCATCTCATGAAATAGTAGTTGGTTGATAGGTTTTCCCTACTATGGTTTATCATATCTTATCAGTATCCCCCAATAAATTGGCCTTAGAGTTCCCTATATCAACCTATCAATCAGGTTAGTTTTAACGGTTCCACGTCCTCCCGGGCGCCTTGTGGCCGCTTTTCGTCAGCATCCAGGCGGCTGAGAGGCCACTGGGCCCGGAACCCACCACCAGCACTGGCTTCTCGGCATCCTGGGTCACTCTATATCTATATTTCTATATATTTCTGTATATGTCTAAATAAGTAAATATATATATATGTAAATTCTATGTGTATATGTATATATATATATAGTTATATATATAATTATATGTATATATATATATAAGGGTAGGAATTTGTTGGTGATTTTTTTTGAGTTTAAGGATTTTTTCTTGTTAGGGATGTTTTCATTGTTCTTTGCAACATTTGGAAGTTGGAACCTTCGTTTTGCATCGTATTTGCATGTTATTTGTGCAAGTATCTAATTTTGCATGCTATCTTCTCTCCTACTTCCATAGACGCTTGATGCTACGTTATGAGATCTTTTCTTGTACGTGCACAGACACTTCGTGTCGCGTTCCAAGACCTATTCCTATTCTACACGCGCAGACACCTGATGGTCTCTGAAAGGATCTTCTCTTGTACTTGCACAGACACTTGGTGCTACATTAATAGACCTTCTCTCGTTCTTGCGCAGACACTTGAGATTATAAGATCTTCTCTTGTACTTGCACACTTGCACAGACGCTTGGGCTTGGTGCTACGTTAAAAGATCTTCCCTCGATTTCCCTCGTACTTGCACAGACACTTGATGCTACGTTACAGGGTGCTGGGCTACCGGGGGGGGGGGACCACCATCTGGGGAGGTAGCTGGGGGAGTAGCCGGCCTGGGGGACCATACCATTGGGGGCCGGGGGGTACCGGGACCATATATCCGGGACCCATATATAAAGTTCATTCGTATTCAACATATTTCAACATAACCATATATAGTTTTTAACCCATAAACCCACCATAACCATGGAACCTCCTTTGTTTTTAACTTCCCTGGTGGGTTCTGGTGGGTTCTGGACGCAAAAAAGCGCTGTGGACCCCACGAAGCTGCTGTTAAGCACTTTCACCTCAGGGGAGAAGTACCTGGCTACCAGGGGCCATGGAACCATGGCGAGTGACTGGAAAAAACATGGGGCATGAGATGTTGTTTTTTTCAAAAATAATGTATGTATATGTATGTGTATGTATATATATATATATATACGGTAACTACATTTAAATATACGGACTTTTAAATATACGAACAGGTATTTTAGACTACCTCCGTCAAGGTTTTCCTTGGCCCGCCCAGCCATTTAAACATACGGAATCCAATTCATTTAAACGTACGGTATCTACATTTAAATATACGAACTGGTATTTCATACTCCCTCCGGGGCCTCGCGGTCTGGCCCGCCCTCCACATATTTAAATGTCACTACCGTATATACATATAGCAAACACCTAGACCTATATGGGATTGGGTGGTTCTTGAATGTTCTTGATAGGATTTGGAGTCTTTTGTACTTGAACCAACAGTGATAGAAGATTTTTCGATGGGATTCCAGATGGGATGGTAGTTTCTATTTGAAGTCAGGGCAAAGATTCGGCATGTCAAGCCATGAAATTCAGCATGTCAAGCCGTGAATATGTTTGTTTGCTGACAACAATGGCCCGCTATTGCCCGCTTGTACATTACTCAAGCATGGGAGGCCAGTGCATGGAGCCTTTTCACAGGTCAGCGGGTTAACATGGTTTGGAATCAGACATATCTTACTGGTGATAGACGTAGGGAATGGCATGGGGGATTCATCCAATCCATAACTATGAATATGATAATCCCATTCCCCTATTTCATACGTTTAGCACCAGTAAATATATATACCTTGTGGTAATAAACTGACATAACTATGGAAAATGAACACTTTTAAGAGGGAAATCAACTAAACATGGGCCATGTTCAATAGCTATGTCAGTTTATCAGAGGCTAAAACATGTTGATCATGTTGCACAGGTGCCATGAAGTGACTGGGAGAGCTGCACCGTATCTCTCCAATTTAAATCCCACTATTGAAATATCTACTTTTTTACATTGCACACAACTAGTTCGATGAACACCCCACAACTGTCAATTGAACTATACAATATCAATGTCGCAAAGTAGCCCAGAATAGCGAGCCTGCTACCGTTACTTCTCCAATGTATTTGCGCGTGAGCTGCAGGTTTTGGTGGGCCGTGTGTTTTCAAGCTATCTTATCCACATCAACTTCTCCCATCGATCCTTCATCATGATCACAGCAAAAACTAAACCATTAAAAACCTCTCCAAAAACCTCTCGGTAGGGATCCAATTTGGATCCCAGGTATTCCCAGGTCACAATGCCACAAAAAAGATGACAAAGCCCAACAAGGTGAGCAGAGGGGCCCCGATCAGGACCTCCAAAGGGACGGATGCGGTGAAAGTTCGACCCGTTCTGGTCACCCTGGCAATCCGTCTAGTGATTCCAAGCCCTGAAACATCTTTGTTAAATGGGATGAAGATGAAACATTGTGGAAATTGTGGGCATGAAACTTTCAAGCACAATTCGATCATGTTGGGAAACCTCTGATTGTAGCTCCAACTAGCTCCCCATGGAAAAACATATCCATCTCCCAAGCAGAAGCTACGACACCGGCCCGGCACATCCCCCTGGGATCCAGGACACATCTCCATAGTGTGCTTCTGATGCCACACCTGAGTCAAAACACCACATTCATTCCACACTGGAATGACCCTGGTCAGTGTGAACCCCTGTGGCTTTGTCTAAAAATAGGGGACCCATGGGGACCCCAAGATCCATTGGGTAATCATCATTTTCTGGATGACAAATGGCTATTTGGGAGGTACATCCCATTTTCAGACACTCACGAAAAAACCTGTGGGAGGAAGGCATCCATCCCTGTGATGCCCTCTGAAAGAAGCCATAGTCAAACCCTCAACGCATGTGACGAAGATGCAAGTTGCAAGTTGCAATCAACAACATATATATTATATAACCAATTGATACCATTTGGAGGTTTCCTAAAATAGGGGTACCCCTAAATCATCCACTTTAATCGGATTTTCATGGATTTTCCATGATAAATCCTCCATTTTGGGGTACCCCCATTTTAGAAAACCCCCCCAATTAACAACCAACAATGATCAGGAAAATCACCTTCCAGCTGCAATCCATACTCAACAGCAGTGCCAGTATTGACCCAATAAGAGCAACTAGAATTCAATCGGAGTCAAACACTTGGCTGTGCCAAGAGCAGGAAGTATCTTTCATCCGAAACATTGCCAACGTCGAACATTCAGATCTATTCAGAATTCTGGGTCAAATGTTTAGGTAGACCCCAGTCATCCACAAACAATAAAAGCACCTATTGATAGGGTACCCAACTTTGATCCATCAACAAATGGATCCCAAAAATTCACGCTCCAAGCCCCCGCCAGCAGCCTAGGAACTTGCGGCAAATGCCCAAGTGGCAAGGAGTGATCGTGAGCAGGAACAACAAAGTAATCTTAGCAGCAAAGGATGCCCATGTCTCACCCAAAAAACTGATGTGCTTGTTGGATCTTGTTGGATTGTACAGCTCATTTCACCTTGAAAACTCATCTTCACATGACAGTGTAAGAAGATGGTACAGTGGATAACCAAGTGGGATAACATCCTTTACTATGTCCTTTATCAGTGGAAGAACCAGTCCGTTGCAGGGAAAAATATCTACTCCTCGACGATTTGTCGGTCACAAATGACGATGGATCTCATGGATCTCACACGCAACTCGCGACTCTGAAAACGGCAACTCTCCACTACCCTCTGGTAATTTAACGTAGCTATTGAAAATGACCATTAATAGTGGATTTTCCCATTAAAAATGGTGATTTTCAATAGCTATTTTTAATTACCAGAGTGTAATCATCTTACTGGTGCTTAGTAGGGAATGGATGGGAATGGGGGAATGGGATGATTATTGATAGTTATTGTAGATCATTCCCGAAAATTCCCTACGTTTAGCACCAGTAAGTCATGGGTTGTACCATACTGTTTAGCCACTCTTACTGGCGACGTACCCGGATTATTGACAGCATTTTCCAACCAGCTCATTTCTGTGGGTTTGCATGTCCCTGACAAATTTAAGGGTGATCTATGTCACAATGTCTTTGTGTAAAAACAGTGTCAGCCCAAATTCCCAAATCCATTGGTTTATCATCAGACTTCCTCACATTTTCAGACCCACATACCCGACATTGAGATTGTTGGTCGTCTTCGTGTTCGATATCCCATCAATCATATCCCCAATTACAACATCCGCATAAAATGGTAGCTTG